CTTCCTCCTGTGCGCCTCTAAACCAGAACTAACACCAAAACTAAAACCAGAACTAAAACCAGAACTAAAACCAGAACTAAAACCAGAACTAAAACCAGAACTAAAACCAGGACTAAACCAGGACTAAACCAGGACTAAACCAGGTCTAAACTAGGACTAAACCAGGACTAAACCAGGACTAAACCAGGACTAAACCAGGACTAAAACCAGGTCTAAAACGGGACTAAACCAGGACTAAACCAGAATTAAAACCAGGTCTAAACCTGGTCTAAACCAGGACTAAACCAGAACTAACACCAGGACTAAAACAAGATTAATCCATTCCAGGACTAAACTAGGACTAAAGCAGGTCTAAACCAGGACTAAAACAAGGACTAAAACCAGTGATCTCATATATAAAGCATTTCTCTATCAATAATATTTTTAATATGGTTAAGGAAAGACTGGACTTGTTATTGTCTTTAAGTAGACAAAGGTTATTATGTTCCTCGTCTTTGCTACTTTACAGCAAACAGTTTCTTGGGCTCAACAGACAATTTGGAGAGATTTGTTAAACAATAAATGACTTTATAAAGTCACTTTTTTTTGTTCTATATCAGTCTTTTGATCTGCCACAATAATGTAATAATGAATTTAAATGAAAATACCTCAAATTGAAGGCTTTTGTCAGCAATTTTTAGGTGAGATTAAAATGAGATTAATTAGATTAATTAATTACAGATCATAATTAATTAATCTCAATTTTTTTTTAATCGCATGACAACACTAGTTATAATGTTGCTATCTCATCAAAAACATGACTGGAGTTCTGTTTTGTTTCATTTACACATGTTTGAGTAACCCTTTATTATTAGTCTGTTATTAGTCAGCTACCTTTTGCCTATTGCTCAGTGCAAATTCCAGGTCTGAAATCATTGTGAAGGTGTATGTAAACATTGCCTGTATATCATCACAAGGTGGAACAGAGTTTTCCATTGAGAGAAAAACTCAGACTAAAGATGCAGGGATTGTGTGTTTAATGTGTATGAATGAAACTAAATCCGAATCAGATCAGAAAAGAAAAAAAAAAAAAAAAAAAAGGGCGTAATATGGGCCCTTTAAAACCTGTATCACACTTTGATTGTGTCCAGTTTTCCTGTCTCTTTTTGCAGATGCGAATAGTGGTGGAGCTGAGAAGAAGCCCAAAATTGAGGTGCCGGAGGATGAACTAAGAAGCCACTTGAAGAATGGCACTCTGGGAAAGCTGACCGTGCCTGTGCTAAAGGAGGCCTGCAAGCAGTTTGGGATCCGAACTACAGGCACAAAGAAGCAGGAGCTAATAGATGCTTTGCTAGCCAAGTTGGGTCCATAATGAACTGAACAAAACCATGTCACTAACTACTGTATATGCCTTAAAGGGCGACAATGTAACTTTTCCAGGTGCTTGTCACCATGGAGATGTCACTGTTTTGCCTGGAATGTTCTACAAGGCCAAATTACGGGTCAGATCTGTTTAGAGGTGACCACGCACTCAGTAAGAAAAGTAAGACAGTGTGGTTTTCAAGGTGTTTTGAAGACAAAATAAACACCCATAATTGAAAAAATGCTAGATCTTTTTAATTGCATATTGTGAAACTTTCCTGGCAAAGCAAAGCAACCTCCCCAACCTCTGAAAAGTTACATCTTTAATCTGTAATGATTATGAGATTATGTTAGAAGTGTCCTAATTGTACAACATGTATCAAAATGCAGCAAATAAATAAAACCAGCCATTTTGTATAATCTACATATATTTTCTATTATCACATTATCTCTGAGTTGGTTTGTTTTTAGCTGAAATACCAGTTCCTCCTGTCCGGATGAGAGGTGTGCCTTGGTGAATAAAGCCTTAGCATTACTGGCATATTTGGAGCTTCTCTTAGCATTGTGCTGTGTGTTGAAGCAGAGTTCCTGATGAGGGCAGGTCAGCGCAGGCACAATCAACCACTCACCAGCAAGAAGGAGGGATTACAACTCTTGGCTACATGACTTGCAATTCAACAACTAGCTCATTGAGATATCAGCACCACAGAAAGGTACGCTACGTTAGGAGTTAGGTTTACTTGTGTTACTTGTGGACATAGCAAGTTTATTACACTAGTTATACATTGACATTTTAGTTTTACCTACTTTGCATGTGATTATGAACTGCTAACTATTCATTTGTTTACTAAGTTTGAAACAACTACTGTAGTGTTTTGTTTTGTTGTCAGAAGTGAGAAGTTGCACAATTTAACAGTGTCAATGCAGCAGGACAAAGGTCTGTGATCGGAGCAAGAACAATGGAGTGCAAATGCGATTCTGAAGATGCTGCTACGGGTAAGGGATGGGCCGATATGGATTTTGAGCCAATGTTGATATCCAGTATTTGTCTTGTTGCGACTGATAACCAATATCTTACAGTACAAATATGGCGCCTTTAAGATCCATAGTACAGATCAAATTTATGTCAAGTTATCATTTTTGTGAAAATAATAACAAAACACAGAGACTAGGGCAGTACAGAAAAAAATTGTGACAAATATCTGTGACATTTAATACTGGACGCATATCTGGGGAAATATTGCAGGATATTGCAAATATACCATCCTTAGGTAAGACACATGTTAGACAGTAACTGACCCCATAGATGATAAGGAACATGTTGCAACTACTATCTTCACAGGTTTTAGGCAGATGAAGAAATTCAATTTATTGGTACATTTAGGATTTAAAGTAGTAAAGAAAAGTAGCTAATAGTTTCTCACTAACTATTGTTTATTGCTGCTGTGTCCTTGAGCAAGACACTTTATTCTCACACTTCTTTTTGGTGTGACTAACCGTTAACAGAGTTAGTTTATTAGTTGCCATCACGATGCAATTATGGTGTCAATAAAAAAGGCATCAAATTGTAAAGCAACCTTGACTGTTTAAATGTGTCAACATGATTAAAGCTGGTCCATCAGGCTGCACCTAGGTCTGTCACAGTAACCAATTATACAACAAATATAGATGATAAGTGATAATATTGAAACTAAATTGTACAAATACAAAGCAGGATCAAAACTAATTACTCATTTGGGCAAGCAGTGATATTTAAAAAGTCACATTCACAGGACAGAAATGAACCTAATAGAGGTCATGCCCCAGGACCCCCGAGGAGGAGACTGTTTGAAACGTCTTTTCTAAAGAGAGATGTTTTGGATCCATACTTTGAGGGCCCTGGTCTAAACGAGGAGATGGATTTTTCATCCTTCCTGTAGCTGTAGCTCCCTCTCTGTCCATATGAACTATATGAACTATATGAACTACAAAGCCGCTCATGCAAACTATTTGAACTATAAAGCTGCTTCCACAATTATTGGAACAATTAAGCTTCTAAACATATGCTTTCTTAATTACTGCCTCAAGATGCTATGTTTTTATCACATTGTTGTCAATTGTCAAGAGGGGTCAGGTTGCCCCCTCTTGACAATTGGCCACCAAATACCCAGGTATTTTTAATAACCTTTGTTACAAAATTTTTGGTGCTTTCTACTTGTGATAATGTTGATTGAAAACAATTCTTGAATGTGCTATGTAACTTAAGGGATATATGTATTGCTGACTATACAACTTATACATAACAGTGTTTTTTATCTGTTGTTATGAATAGTATGTTGTCAATATACTTGAATTCAACATGTACAGTGTTTTTGGATATTTTGTTTTTTATTATCACATGTCTCAAGGTCATGACCCCTAGAAATGGTCACACCTGCAGCTCACTCCATCAGTCCTGATGAAGACTAAGTAGTAAACATGTTGGCGTGACAATTAATAAATACACCACAAATCAGAGAGCCTCTGAGCCTTTCTACTCTACAAGAAATTAACCTTTCTTGAATCACTTTGTTTTGAACAATCTTGAGCTGTATCAGAATAAGTATAAGATCACATAAATTAGTATATGTCCCTGGACCACTGGACCACTGAGGGATTACACAGATTACAAAGATACACAGACTGTATAAAACAAAATGATAATATAAAAGAAAGTAGCATGATTTAATGTTAGAAATCTCATTCTATATCCTGCTAACTGTCTTTTCTTCATAAAATTGTAGTTCAAAAGTGGCTGTCCAATTTGTCTTAAATTGAAGCTATTGAGGGCTGGCTTCTGCTCGGTAACACAATGGACTTCATTCACCAGTTATTTATCCAAGAATGTCTCATACCTCAGCATGGACATATTTAGGTCAAAGGTCAAAACCATGTCAAGTTGTAGTGCTGCTATTCTAAGACTGTGCTGTTTCTCTCCTCTAGGCTGGCTGAGCAGTGGCAACATGCAGATGGGAGCCTTCACTATCGTGGGCTATCTTCTCTACAGATTCTCCCAAAGTCAGTCAGAATTATATTCATCATAATGTTATATACCCCCATATAAAAATCATCACTTATTTTGGCCTTTTCCTGCAGCACTCCCAGCTCTAATCAGATGGCCAATCCGCATTTTCTGCTCCATTACTGGTGAGATTATACAATTTCATACAGGATTATTTCAAGGTGCATTATGTAACTTTTCTGGTGGATGGTCCATTACCTACTTGTCTCCATGGAGATTTCTTTTGCCTAAAATGTTCCACAATGAGACAATTACTGGTTAGATTTGTGAAAAGATGACCCAGATGTAAGATTGCAACATCTTTTTGAGCAATAAAAACATTCTGAATTCAGTAAATGCAAGGCAGCTACAATGCAAGGCAGGAACATTCCAGCCAGAGTAATTACATCTCCATGGAGGCTAGCAAGTGGCAGACCCCCCCACCAAAAAGTTATAGTGTTAAGTATTTAGCAATTATCAGTTCCTATTATTAATTAATTAATTAATTAATTAATAGTTGGGTTTGTATAGTGACACCCAAAGCGCTTTACAGTGCAGATGGACAGAAGTGATTCTGCCAATTTGCACCTTTGGCCCCTATAACCAGCGCCAACCCTCACCTACTCACCACATACATATCAGGCAATGTGGGTGAACTGTCTTGCCTGGCCAGTACAACAGTTTTTTGCCACTGGCACTCCATTATGGCACCTTATATCCCCAGTGGTCTCCCATCCAAATACTAACCAGGCCTGGCCATAGCTTATCTTAGTTTCTGAGAACTGATGAGAGCAGGCTGGGACAGGCCGGTATGACCCATCTAAGGCCTGGTAGCCATATTTGAGATTTATGAAAAGTTATATAGTGCACCTTTAAATAATACTGAGGTAAAAAAGAAATAAAAAATTGTTGCATTTTACATATTTTTTCCCAGGTCTGTCCACTCTCTGGAGCTGGGTCACTCGTCTTATTGGAACTCTCCGTGGTACATCACTCATTCTGCATTCACAATGTATATCTTAATGTGTGTTCAAAGTTTAAGTTTATACCTGTGTATGTCCTGCAGTAATCAAGAGTCTATATAAATGGTTGTCCCAATTTTGGCACTTTCTCGTCAGTAAGTGAAGTTTTTTTTTAATTGGTTATAAATATGATCTAATTTGTGTGAATGTGCTCTAACATGTCTCTACTACTTCTTCTGTAGAAATTTCTTCCAAATTTAGCTGGCTCTCAAAGATCATCAAAGTCATTACAGGTCTGTTACTATATCTTAACTAATTGTTAGTAGTAGTTGACTTAATTGTTTTGATCTTCTCATTGTGTAAAAGTATTTACATAATTTCTGGTCACTGGTCATGTTAGGGTTGGATACAAGCATTGCTGACAATGTTGAAAGCTACATTTGTGATTAGCTAATGTTATCATGCTTATTTCCTTACCCAAACTAAAGGAATCTAAGGAAATTTAAATCAATTTGAATGAGAGCTTGTATCTTATCTTAAACAAACATACAACTTAGAACTTCTTGCAAATATTTTGCTAGCACAGTGAGTTTGAGGGCGAATGGGACTAGACCCTTCTTGGAAAAATTTTTAAATAAATACACTGCTCCGATTGAAATAGTGGTTTAAATTGTGCTTTATTGTTTTATTATTTTACTCTTTACCTTTAGTTCAGTAAAGATTGGCAATTCCAGGGCTGAACACAAGGTGGAACAAAGTTTGAGAGAAGAATTCAGCCTAAATATGCTGGATTTGTGTGTTAAATGTAAATTAAAAACTAGATGGGTATATTTAAAGCTATATCATAGAACATTCAAGGCAGACCAACATCTCTGAGACAAGCAGGTGGCCAGACCCTCCTACCAGAAAAAGTTACATGTTACACCTTTAATATTGTCATATTATGAAAGCATGCATTTCATTCTGTTTTGATCTATAGGTGCATCCGATGATGACCTGTCTGATCTCCCTGGCCTCCGGATTATCCTCCTTAGACCTTGCGATAGTCGACCAAGCTCTCTGGCGGACTTCCTACTGGGCCCCACACCCCCAAAATCAGATACCTCTCCAGAACCTCCCTTACAAAGCTCCAGAAGGACAATCATACTAAACGTGGGCGAGATCTCCATCATAGACACCCCAGCTCTTCCAGGATTGACACTGGACCACCATAGCAGAGCGCGAGAAGGTCTTAGAAGCCTCCAGCTCTCCAGCCCTGGCCCTCACGCTTTTCTCATCGAAATCCCCATTTTGAACACCGAGCTCCACAACGATCTTAACCGCGTCACCCAAGCGGCCATGGAACTTTATGGAGACGAAGTAACGGACTACATCCTCCCTGTCATCACGCATAAACACAGTCTAAGTCGACGAAAGATAGAGAATTTACTTCATTCGCAACCTGGTAGCTACAAAAAGGGACCTCTTGTATGTCGACAGAGGCCAGAGGTGGTGAATATCAGTACTGAACGCTCTGTGGATGACTTGAACGCATCACGAATAAGTTTATTCAAGCGCGTGGTTGAACTAAAGAAGATGAAGGGGAGTTTTGTGCATGAGTTACAAAGGAGAGAGGACCGTGTCAGGGAGGAGATATTGATAGACATGGCTAAGATGCTGGCAACCAAACTGGGACATATGTAGTGAAGTCTGCTTTGTGAATGATAAAAAGGAGGAGAAAGTATATGACAGTAATCAGAGGTGGGAAGAAAAAAGTAACGTTACTTCAAAATAATATTACTCCAACTGAAGAACAAAGTAGTGGTCCATGTTCCATAACTGTCAGGATTTAACATCTGATGAATAATTTAATAAATGTAATGCAATTGTAAGGACAAAGCATTAAATAATGCACAAAAATTGGTATTTTCAATAGATAGACCACAAAAATTAGAAACTTATATCTGAAGAGGCAGTGCAAGATCATTTCATACTGTCAACATAAAGTTTTTGTCATTTGTAGACTTACTGTGGGATGAGTGACCACAATTTTTACTCAAGTAAAGTACTGGGACTTAAATAAAAATAAAAATATTACTCAAGAGAAAGGAGTAAATAAGTAACTAAGTAGTATGCTGCAAGAAAAGTACTCTGAAAAGCAGTTCCTTTAAAAAGTGACTCAAGTAAATGTAACTGGGCACTACCCACCTCTGACAACGATCTACTACTAAGAGATGACTGGACTATCTGAATGTCATGTACCACAAATTTACATGAGTCTTTGTAATTCCAGGCTTGGAGCTAGTCATTTGGATTTTTATTCAAAACAGATATTTAAATGATTTGCACAGTGCTTTACTTACATTGAATTAATTGAACTTGTAAAAACATTCTTGAAGAAGAATGCACATGGGTCAAAATAAACCATATGTCAGGTTGGAGACAAGTGCTGTACTGTATGACTAATATTGCTCATGGTATCTTCTAACAAATCAGGAAGTCCCCTTGAGATTAAGAATCTTATTGGTCCTGGTCCAGGTAGCAGTCAACACAATGAATATGAAACAGTCAAATCACAAAATATCATATTATAAAATTTTGCATCTCTCAAGAAAAACATACACGTGTCTCAATTACTACACTTTTCACAATTTTCTTACATTTTCGCATGAGGTGACACCTTAGATTTAAATTTAAGATCTTTCTGTAAATAATTCCAACTCTGTAGAGCTGTCTAGGAAAAAGCAGATTTTCCAAGCTCAGAGGGTGCAATGTTTAGTAAAACGAAGCCTACCTGAGCTGATATTAAAGAGATTACCAAAGTACTTAAAGGTGCATTATATGACTTTCTAGTAGAGGGTCCACCATGGAGATATTGTTTCGTCTGGAATTTTGTGCTACAGTGTGCTACAATCATAACTGGATCTGGATTGCCAGTGCCTGCCAAGAGATGACCTACAGGTTTTTACCATTCTCAATATATGGACAGGCCATGCCTCATATAAAAGCTTAGAACCTCCAGAATTCAGTCGCTGAGCTGCAGAGGCTGTACTGGCACTGATTCATGACTGGCAGCAGGTGATGGGGTTTAGGTAGTGACCATTCAGATCATGTTTATGAATTTTAAAATCAAGATCCTACACACAGTTCCTTTAAAACTGTACCATCACAAAAATGTGGCCAATTGAATTTCACATGCCAAAACAATAACCAAAAGAACAAACATTGTCAAACAGCTTATGAAGCATGTTAAAGCTCCTGTTAAGGTAAGATGTGTAGTAAAAATTGTATCTATTATAAGTAAACACTCTGCATGCCTTATGTTGTGGTTAAGCAAAGACCTGCCTAGAGCTCCCACTCAGTAATGCCCCTCATTTCATAATTTATATATCATCAAATTTTAAATACCAGTAGTGGGGAAAAAATAGCTCCATCCAGAATGCAACTGCACTTTTTCTTTTACCAAATACAGAAATGATCAAAAGTCAGTCCCCAAAGTTCAGAACCAGATCATATCAGGAGACATCAAAGTAAAAGAATACTTTGCTGCATGCACTGGTTTGTGACCTTTGATTTGGTTTCAGTGTTTGTTTTTTATGTGTAAAAAATGTACATGTATATGTAAATATTTACAGTTGCTCCATTAAGGTTGTTATGTAATCTGTTCTATTCAGTAATATAGATATAAGAGAACTTTGTTGGAATATGGAAGTACTGTGATATGCCATTAATTGATAGTCCAAAATTATATAAGTTTATGGGCCATATGAACTAGTATTATATGTATGGTTTACAGAAAATATTATATTAAAATATAGTACTGTATTTGTTACAGTATATTAAAATATAGTATTAGAGGTTCTTTTATTTATGGAAAAGGCTAAATAATGCTGTGATTAAAATTTGTTTTACCTGCGTTCTAGATCTTACGTTATTTAACTATGATCATTTCAATCCAGGTAAAATGAAAGTGGAAAAAGTGGGTTTGCAGTTGCCTCTTGGGAGGGGCTGATTACTGACGCAGGCGTGACAGTAGGAGCTAGTCAGCAGTGCGCATGCGCGCGTTTGCACTGAAAGAGGCAGGCAGAGGGAGAGAGCAACACCAGGAAAAAAGTGCTAAAGACAAAGGACTGGACAGCGCGTATGGAAAGAGTTCCCAACATGTTTAGATCCCTCAATGATTCATGACAACCTTTAAGAGGGAGTGCGCCAGGTGAGTGTCCGCTGTCCGCACACAAAGTTCTAAGGCGATATGTTACAGGAGGCGTTGTGTTTGTGTGTTTGCTGTACACTGAGGAGGTACGTAGATGAGTAGAGCCTGTGCTAACTGTTCCTAACAATGTGTTATTGCATGAACATGTTAAAACACTGTACAAGAGCGCCTGTATGCCCGTAAATGTGCTCCGGAGAGCCGTGGGGCTGTCATGTTTTGCTAGCTCCCTGTGCCTGTGCTCCCTCTGTCCACATCACACTGCTGGAAATGTTTACCTTGTGCTCTTTTTGGAGTCTGCTGACCAAAACGACACTGGAGTGTTGTTGTAGCTAGAGGCAGGAGCTGAAAGGGTCAATGTACTGAGGCCAATGGACTTTTAGGATATGCTTTATTTATATGTTTTACTTAGTGTTTTTTGAACCCTTGTGTGCTAACTGCTAAGCATAAATTAACAATTGTGCCGTTTGTTTTTCCAGCCGAAGTACAACACTATGGTGGGAATGATCTCAAGTCAGTAAATTGGTGACAAGATAAAACTAAAGTGAGGACCTCTCAGACATTAAGACTCTGTGACCGTGGTGCTGAAAGAAGATCTTTTGAAACATTCGGAGGATATCACTGCTTCAGCTCTTCTTACTGTGTGTATTTGTGAGAGAACAAGTGCAGTTTGCATTGAGGAACTGAAGGTTTAAATTACTTACAAATCTCTACCTCCCCCTCCACCACTCTACAAGACCCTCTCCACCAAGAGGCTGAGGGTTGCCATGGCAGTGATCGCCATGACGCCCATGTAGCGTCCTGAAGGTAGAGGTAGCAGTGGGGCTGGAGGAGGCATGGGAAGTGCTCCGTATCCAGCCGGGGAATGGAAGGGCAAGGGCAGGGGAGGCCTCCAGGAGCTGGGATGCATGCCCTGGAAGGTCAGCAAGCAGAAAGCCCTTGGGGTGGGGGGAGAGGTAGTGATGGGAGGTGAGGAGAGAAGGACCATAGATCCCAAAGACTGTCCACAACAAGAAGTGTCCTCTTCTTCTTCTTTATCTCCGCATGCACCTCCTCTGCCCTCTCACACCCCTCCAATCATCTACCATGAGAAGCAGCGGAGAGAGCTGTGTGCCCTGCATGCTCTCAACAACGTCTTCCAGGATGGGGCTGCCTTCAGTAGAGAAGCTTTACAGGAGATATACCAGAGGTAACAAGAATTCCCATTGGATAGACTGGAAGAAACTAGCATATTTTTCTGCAATTTTCTTTACATTTCAGGCTTTCACCAAGTACTCTAATGACGCCCCATAAGAAGAGCATGCTGGGAAATGGAAACTATGATGTAAATGTCATCATGGCCGCCCTGCAGACCCGCGGGTTTGAGGCTGTGTGGTGGGACAAAAGAAGGTAATTGATAATTGTATTTCTTTTAATATAGCTTTTTTAAATTTAGCTTTTAATATCACATCCCTTATGCTGCTATTCTGCTACTGGACATGTCCAAAACACACAGATGAAGAGGGTTGGATGAGCGCTTGTCCTGTGTCCTCTCCTGCCCCTCACCAGTGCACTGAGCTTGCTCTTTGATTAGTCAGCACTCAGTTACTAGACTCTAAAGCCTCTGAGACAGTTTTATCAGCAGCCATGTTATCAGTACCACGAGACATACAAAAACAATCACTGACACACTCGTATCAGGAACTGCACTTGTTATCAGACAAGCCCATATTCCTGTTTGGACTCCACTGTAAGACAAATGTGGGCAAAAAGTCATAGCAGTTATGTTTTTTAAAGGGACGTGGGCAGTATAGAGCTGTCCAATGTGACCGGCTTCATTCTGAATGTTCCGTCCAACCTGCGCTGGGGTCCTTTCCGCCTGCCACTCAAACGCCAGCACTGGATCGGGGTCCGAGAGGTGGCGGGGATGTACTACAATCTGGACTCCAAGCTCCGGAGTCCCCAGTGCATCGGCAGCCCGGAGGAGCTCAGGTCAGTGTGCACTTGGGAGGTCAAAGTTCACTTTTGATATAATATTCATGTATGTGTTTGAATAATACCAGGGGAGAAACCGAAAGTAGATTTTTCTTTCTTTGAAATATCAATGATTTATCACTGTAATATGTTATATTACATTAACAACATTAAGTAACATTAAAATTTTTATGTAATAATGGAGCAGCATTATATTAGAAGGACAAAGGCTCTTTCACTGTTAATTTTCAATAAGTATTCAAAAGGAAAATCCAACCATAAAATTATCTGTTTTTCAATCTATTAGCAAATTGACAAAATGGTTTCATTGCAGTCATGTAATCTCAGAAGATTTGACCTGCTATTCAGAAAAACTGGTTTGAACACCAACTCTGGTTTGAATTTAATTTAAAATTACACTAGTGGTTCTACTTCTACTGCTATAGAATATTGCAAAATGTTTTATTAATCTATTTATCAGCAATTTGCCTACAAAAAACAACTTATCTCCTCACATTACTTTTCCTTCACAACAATAAATAGTTTGGTAAGGTTTGTGTCTATCATCTATGAATTAGCAACTATGATCATCAGACTTCCCTAAATCATAACATACATTATTTTATGATTTAGGGAAGTCTGATCATCATAGTTATTTCTGAATTTCCTAAATCACATGAATGCACCATCATATCAGCTTCCTCAAAAAATTGTTTTTGCTTCAATATGCTGTTCATTCAAAAACCTTTTTAAGAGGAAAATGACTGACCAGCAGTTGCAGACAAAGTTGTAGAGGGTGACTGCAGAATATTTACTTAATTTTACTTACTTCTTTTTTTTTTTTTCAAATTTTTAAAGGGGCCATATTCTGTTATCTGATCTGTTATAATATATAGTTGTTCCTCATCAAAATGTACCCGGAGTTGTGTTTTTATTTCATTCACACATGTTTAACACACAAATCCTGCGTATTTAGGCTTCTTCTTCTCTCAAACAGAAAACAGTCTGTTTCACCTTGATGTCACCTGATGTGACATGGCAATACAGAAAGTGCTGTGTTTTTAAACTCCATACACCTTCACTAGAATCATTTGGATAATTCTGGGTCATTTCTGAAGTGCTATCTCTGTTTACATTTCTACAGGAAGTTTCTCCGTCAACAGCTGCGTGGCAAAAACTGTGAACTTCTATTGGTGGTGTCAGACGAAGTAGAGGCCCACCAAACATGGCGGACCGACAGCTAAGGGAAGAAGTAGCTCAGCTGCTGAACAGGAGGAAGTTGAGTGGCCTGCCATTTTGGATGCGCACTTACAATTTTTTCCTTCCCTTTTTTGAGTCTTGTTTACAACACCACTGCTGGACTCATCTCCAAAGGGGGGCAAAGCAACTTAACAGGGAGTATCAAATCAATCACAGTCCTTTATTTGCGACACAGACTTGAAAATTTGAAGAAAAAAAAAAAGAGGAGAAATTTTGTGGTTTTTATATATTGACTATTTTGTTGTTTTCTTTTCTCCAGTTGTAAAGATACTGGGTTGGGCATAGTAATAAAGTGCTTTATCAGCCTGCCATCGAGTTACCATCTCACCAAAGTGCGTTCCTTCCTCCCACTAGCTCTCTATTTCACTCACCTGTCTAAAAACGTGTTACCAATGCATTTCTGTGTTGCATTTTGTCCACCTACCCAACACCACTGGCCAAACCGAGCCTAGTTCACCTTTGCAAGAAGCAATGCAAACACCTTGCTCAAACACTCCCTCTAGTGGAAGTTCTTTGGATTTTCTTTTCCAGTAAATTGAAATATTTACTTGTTTTATTGTCCAGGAAGAGGTTAAACTTTCTAGTGAGGAAACTACTAGCCTTTTTTTTTTCAACTGAGTAATATATATTTATTGACAAAGATATCACAATCAAGTGCAAAAAAATGCCATGCCAAATGCACAGTCAATTTACACACCAAAATGTCTGTTTCATATCTGCCAAATATGTACAAGGAGGAACATGTAAGTGTGTGTAGTTGTGTGTTAGATTTATTGTTTTTTCTAAGTGTCTGTCTGTAGATGGAACAGAGGCGAAGGATAGAGTGCCTATGTAACAGAAAAGTCTTGAACATGGTTGTGTTTGTCGAGAAAAGTGAGAGTTGTTGACGCTTCACATGTCCAGTCGTGTGATGTCATGGTTGAATATTGTTAAGTGCGCCGAAGAAGAGATTCCAGTGATGATGTAGCTTACGCATCATTTAATAGAAATCTATATTTTGTTGATGTAACTGATTATATTGGCCTTAAAAGTTTACATTCAAACAACGCCTTTTGCTTTGAATTTGCACTATATAAAATTTCAGGTGGAGAGTCTGTCAACTGCTTGCCTCTTGAATGTTATTGCTTTGCCAGGAATGTTCCACAGTATGATATTAACTCCTCTAGAGCCACCTGCTTGTCTCCATGGAGACAGCCAAGTTTGGAATTCAGACCCTCCACCTAAAAACTTATAGTGCTCCTTTTTAAGAAGCAAAAGTGTGGTTTAAAATAGCCATTTCTGGACTTGAGACTTTAAAAATCAAATCCAGCCAAGGACCTTATGTTATAATGGTGACATAGAAAGAAAACCTTTCTTATGGTATCACTTTTCACTCATGTACTGTCCCAGTGACTTTTCTGTTATGCCTTGACTGTATGGCAAGTATCACATACAATCACATGGAGAACTCTCACATTTGCTGTGCCATGTCAATCCATAAACCTGTAAAATGAAAAAAAAAAAAAAATCTTGCTGTATTTTCTTTTGTATTTTTGCATATAAATAAAAAGCGTATGTCACTTTAAAAAAAGAGGTATTATACTTTTTGGTGTACTTTATATAAACTGTACAATATGTAGAACAATATTTTACATGTTTTGTTAATAATGTTCGTAATGGTAAAATGGATCTAACGGCATAATAATGAAACAGGTTTATTGACCTATCCTATAAAAAAACTGCAGACCTTCATGGGCACTTTACTGTACTGAGTTTTTTGATAGAGTGTACAGGAAGTACAGGAAAGTGGGTGGTGATAGGGGGTAGGGGAAAACTGACATGAAGGACAATACATGATTCCTCAAACAAGAATTAGTGGCTATGTCCACATGCGCATCGAAATCTGATTTCTGGACCTTTACGATTATGTAAATGACATGCAAATTTAAACATTTTATGTGACTTATCAGAGAGGGACCATTATCAGATTATTATTTTGCTGTTTATATGTAATTTTTATGGTCTTGCCATTTCAAAGAACAGTTAAAAGCTCTAATACTTAGTTTACTGATTCTTGTGAGCTTTAAGCCATGTTAGACCATTACCTCACATACTCATAGTTGTGTTTTGTTTCATTCACACGTTTGAGTAACCACACATTATTAGTCTACATCTCCAAAACTCAAAATGCTCTGTTCCACCTTGTGATGATGTGTCATGAAACGGTAGTTTTCAAGTTGACAGCTACCTTTTAACTTTTGCTCAGTAATTCCAGGTTTGAAATGATGCAAAAGGTTGTATGGTGTATGGACTACAGAAGCACAGCGGAGCACTTCCTGTATTACCACATGACATCACAAGGTGAAATAAAGTGTCTACTGTTTGAGAGAAGAACTCAGCCTAAATATGTAGTTTTTCTGTGTTAAGCATATGTAATTGAAACAAAACATAACTCCAGGTATGTTTTTGAGGAAACGACATTATAACATAGACCAGAAAATAGCGTAATATGGGCTCTTTAATAATTCGAGTCTGAGTGCGCACGTAACCTCAACCGTTGAAAATACAATTGAGAGAAAACTGTTTATGATGAGGGAACGCTGTTATAAGCTCATGAAAATCGATTTGACCTAATACGTCCCTTTTAACGTGCAAACACCGTCGTTTTGTCGTTTACATACGGTGAATAAAAACATTATTACGTTATTATTTAGCTGCGCGCGAGGATGGAGTCGTGAGCGCGCCCGCGGATGGATGGATGCAGCGGGGGCGCGCAGAGCAGTGTGCAGATGTGTCGCAGATTTTGTAAAGTCACTGGAAACGCAGAAACATCCAACAAGAGGAGGTCGCCCCGTATTAAAACGCTTTCCAAACTCTGTCGAAGGGCTGATACGAAGAGAAAACCACGAAAAGTGCGGTGTCATTCTTTGTTTTCTGGCGTAGTTTATAACTGGGAATAGACCACCTCACTTTACTTCCCGCGGTTCAAGCTACGGTCAGTCAGAAATGGAGCTGTCCGCGATAGGAGAGCAGGTGTTCGCGGTGGAGTCGATTTTGAAGAAAAGAGTTAGAAAGGTAAGATTAAATCAGAAAAATAAGTATTTATCAGCGAATTACTGCCGATATAATAACGCAAATATTACAGTCTTGGTTGAAAGAAAGACTAAATGCTGTGTTTAAAGACCAGAGACGCGCTGGTTGTGTCCTCGCGAGGAGCTGCACGAGCACGAGGGGGGCGGGGTTGGGTGTTGTCATGGCGTTCTTCTGTCATTGGCTGAAATTAAAATAAAGGAAGTTAATTAAAGGGCCGATATTACGCTATTTCCTGATGTATGTTACAATGTGGTTTTCTCATCAAAAACATACTCGGAGTTGTGTTTTCTTTCATTCACACACACTGCATCTTTAGGCGGACTTCCTTTCTCAAACAGAAAATACTGTTCCACCTTGTGATGTCATGCGGTAACATAGGACGTGCTCCACTGTGTTTTAAAACTCCATACACCTTCAGTAGAATCATTTGGCCCATTGCCCATCTCTGCTCTAAAGGTAAAAGGTAGCTGTGAAATTCAAAACTACGGCTTCATGACATCACAAGGTGGAACAGAGCATTTTGAGCTCAGGAATATAGACAGACTAATAATAAAAGGTTACTCAAACATTTGTGAATGAAACAAAACATAATCCCAAGTCTGTTTTTGAGGAGGTAACAACATTGTAACATGGCTCAAAGCTCATAAGGGTCCATTTTGCATGAAGTGGGACCTGTAAATTAGCATTTTCTTCCATCTGTCCCATTCTTTCCTTTCATTTTCCAAATTGTACATTGGTACTAAATATATGACGAAGTATAGCATAGTCTATTTTAGTACAATCAATTAAACTAGCTTTTGGACTAAGCGGGTAGCTAAATCCAGGCATTATATACCAGCCTAATACTATTAATGAATAAATAAGAAAAGACTGGAGCTCCACCCACACTTAACTGCATGGGCTCAGCATAAGCATAGCATACAATAACACAACAAATTAGGTTTGGACTAAAAATTACAAAATAGGCTGTGTAAGTGTAAGACTTTGAAAAAAGTTATACCAATAAAAATCAACAGCTCAGCTATAGTGACTAAGACATTGTCAGAAAAATGCATGACTTCATCATCTGAAAATACATTGGAGAGACTGGAATATGATTTCACACAGAAGATGACTAACTGTCAGGGGCTGGGCTCTTATATGAAAGACCTGCATTTAACTTGACAGAAATAGCCTTTTATTTGCAAATATCATGGAAACAAAACAAGAAATAGCAAAAATAGGTTATGTGTTGATTGACCAACCTGACAAACTTGACAAATGAAAGAATAAGAGTTGTAAGTTCATAATATAATACTACTACTTTTACTACATTTATTATTTAGGCAAAATAGTGGCAAAAAACTGTTGTTGTGTCCTTAGGCTTCACCAACATTGCCTAGTATGAAAGTGGTGTGAGCGTGAGTGATGGTGGTGGTCGGAGGGGCTGATGGCGCATATTGGCAGCCTCGCTTCCATCAGTCTGCCCCAGGGCAGCTGTGGCTACAGTAGTAGCTTACCACCACTGAGTGTGGAGTGACTGAATAATGAACTGTAAAGCGCTTTGGGTATCTTGAAAGGTGCTATATAAATGCTATCAATCAATCAATCAAAAAAATAGTAGCCTGATGTATTTCATTGGCCTTCTGTTCATAGGGGAATGTGGAGTATCTGCTCAAATGGAAGGGATGGCCTCCAAAGTAAGTACTGAACTATGATGGATCCATTTGTCCTTTGTCAAAAAATGAAATGCTTTTAACTTTTTTGTAGATACAGCACGTGGGAGCCAGAGGAACACATCCTGGACCAAAGACTGGTGCAGGCCTTTAACGACAAGTAAGACTCAGCATAGCAGTCAGCGTTGCAATTTTCAAGAGGGGGTATTTTACATCTATGGGGTATTAACTGATAACACACACATATTTATTTTACATATAAGTTTCACTTTCGTTTTTGACACACAGATGATGTAGACTTGGGGGCTGAGAATTGGACAGAATCTTACAGAAAAGTTTAAAGAAGGTTTGAATAGGGCCCGGGAGAGATCATTAAATTACTCAGACATGCATGGATGATATTTAAAACCTATTCAGACATGTTTTTGATGAGAGAATAACGTTATAACATGATAGAAAGTTCAAGTTCGCACTATATCCCCTCTTTAAGTAATTATTATGTGTGTTTATATTACACAGAGAAGAAGGGGACAGGAGTTTGGGTCACAGACGAAAAGGACCCAAGTCCAAAAAACATCTCCAGGTGAAAAGCAACTCAGATTTATCATATATATCTTACCTTTTAATATGTGGTTCTTATTACTTATGCTTTGGTCATAATCAGATTTTTTTTGACACTTCTAGAGGTAACTAGATACATCTTGTGCTGTAAACTTTAAATTTTTTTGTGTTAATATTTTGGTGTTTTTGTGAATAAAATCATCTGTAAACATCTTAGAGGTGCATTATGTAACTTTTCTGTTGGAGTTTAGGCAACCTTTTCTCAACAAAAGATTCAGATCAAACTTTCTTGATATTTTCAGAAAACATTTTACAGGATGGACCTGCGCAGTGCCCACAGGTGTCCAGAGAAGCCTGCTCCACGTCTGCACCTGTCTCGATCCATCCATCACAGAACACAAGGGGAAGGCTGCAGCTCAGAGCCCCCCAGTCCTGCCCTGCACTGGGGTCAGGAGGAGGAAGAGGACACTACAGGGGATAAAGAGGAGGGGTCAGAGGGCGGACACATCAACAGTTAAGTGTATCTCCATCAGCCAATGTTATGCATGCTGCTATAATTAGTTTAGATGTAAAAAAGATTCATATTGCAATTACAGAGATAGATGATGCAGGTGAATTTAAAACTATATATAAAGGGAAAAAACTAAATGGACTTGATATATACATCACCTTTGAAAACACTGAAAGCATTGCATTATTTATTCACATCTGAAAGCAAGGCTTCCAAACTGCACCACTGGGCTTCTGACCACCACCAACTCTCACGCACACAGCGCATTCATAGCTGAATGAGCTGCTCGGGGACTCATCTCCAAGATCTTGAGCGAGGCTTGGTCGGTACTACCGAAGCCAAAGATTTGACCTGTGGTGCATGTTTTGGGTTGATGGGGGAAACCAGAGAGACATGAGGAGAAACATGCAAACACCACACAAAACCTCGAGAAGTTAAGTATAAAGAAGGGACCGCGACATCAAACATAGCATTTGGCTCCAGTCCAGTCCAGTCCAGTTTTCAATAAAAAGTTAATTGGAGTTGGTGGAGCCAGAAGCGCCTCCATGCTTGCTTCCTTTTTGGAATGCAGTGGATAGTGGATTAGCCATGTCCATTTATACTGTATATACAGGCTATGCTAGCCACTCAGCCACCATGCAACACTGTATCCAACTTGACCTCTGTGTTTGTTACAGGACAGAAGAGCAGACCCTCCAAGAACCTCTCTTTACCCCCCGATGTGTGCAGTATACCAGGGGAGCAGAGCCACACATGGAGCCCCGCAATGTCATGTGCAGAGGTGACAGTCACAGACATCACCATAAACTCTCACACAGTCACGTTTACAGAGAGCACAGAGGCTCAGGGCTTCTTCAGGGACTGGGGAGTGGCTGCCTGAGGAATGAAACACACACAAACACAGTGTACACACATTCACAGCATTATTCCGGTTATCAGGTGGTGTCCAGAGACTCCCAGACCAGTGGCACTTTTACATGCAGACACTTGATTTTAATAAAAGAAATATATAAAAACATAAAAATTCAATCTACTAGCTAACTAGTTTCAGTGCTTTGGGAAATAAAAGTGACAGTAACACTTTATAATAAGTACAATTATTCATGCCTTAAAATAGCATGAACAAGATTGATTCAGGCTGATAAACTACTTAATTAATACACTAACCCCTAATTAAGTGGTTACTGAGCCTGAATAATTCTTAATATTACTGGTTCATGAATTAAGTTTTTGTTCATGTTTTATTAAGGCTAATTAATGTGTAGTTATTATATAGTTGTACCAAAGCGGTTTATTTACATAAAATCTGAGAAAAAAAATAGATGATTTTGCTTTTTACACTTCAATTTAATAATCTGATTTAGAGTGTGCATGTAACCTCAGCCACTAAAGTATGTAGCAGTTCTAGACTGTTAATGTATAACTGTGGCATAGTGTATCAAATCTGATCCAAGATTTAACTGGCTGCATGTTCTCCTTCTCTGCAATGTCTGTTGTCTTCTCTGGTGTTAGCCACTGAACATACAAAGGAAATGGTTAACTTTAAGTTAAAGCAATGTAGATTATAATATATTTTGTATTTTTTTAAAGGTTTGCACATTTTGAAATGGCCACAAATTTGTTTGGAGCACAAAGACTTGAGGGTGAGTGAGACCATTTCTTGGCCCCAAGTAAAGACATTTTATTTGGTATTTAGAGCTAAGAGGACTGAACTTGAGAACCTTGTCAAGTTTTAGATAGTGTTAATGTCTAATAAGTTTTATGAATTCCAATATGAATTCCGTGGTCGCTCACCAAGGTTTTTATTGAAAGTGCCTGGAGAATGTTTTGTTGCCAATTTTGTGTGAAACATTGAATATTTTGATACTGGATTAAGGAAAGATCCAGGTGACATAGAAACTTGTACTTCTGAAGGTCTTTTTTACCTTGACTTGAATGTAACTTATCTGCTGAAGAGTTGCTTGTTTACTTGTGGCCTATCACACGTGGAGCTTCCATCCACTACTAAGCAGAATGCACTTTGTGATTGTATTGACGCACATTACCTGCTTCAGTGAATGGAAGTTTTACTACATGTACAATATTTATACAACCATTTTAAACAATAAATGTTGCATTGATTATACAGATCTTGTGGGTTTTCAAATGAGTCCAGGAAAGAGAAACCGAGACCGAGAGAATTGGTTTCTTCCCAATGGTACAAACATACTTTATTGTACAATTAATTTATTGGCAAAAAACAATCAGACCACCAAAATAACTTAAAAAAGAAACTAATGAAAATGGAGCAACAGTTATTTTTGCTTTCTCTCAGCAAGCACCAAAATTGTTAACAAGAGGAACAAAAAAGTGGTCAAAGATTCCATCTGAATACTAAACAAATATTTAAATAGTCTTATTTCCAGTCTCTTTTCGGAGAAGTAATGATAAAAACAAAATTATTTGTTCATCAGTTGCCATCATTTTGTACAGTGATTCAGTATGTTTACATCTATATTCATGTACACAAAAAGAATGGTAGAATATACTCCGACCACAGCCTCCCCAGGGCAAACTGAATGACTGTCTGCAGTGTCTTTTTGCATCACAATAACATCTTTAATACAAAACAAAACATGTTTTATCTAATAATTCCTGTAGCTTCAAGTTTTATTTCCAAAAAATAAAATTAAATAATATATCTATATATAAAAGACAGTTTTCCTTGTTTTTTTCTTATAAAATAAGTCTCAAGATATATTGCCACCAGGTTCTGATGCCCACCCCAAACCCAGCAACCTTAGAGAAAAATAGTGAGCATGTGAATATTGTGTCTTCTCCGTAAAAAGCTAAATGACCAGATTTTAAATAGTTCTCGCCACATCTTCGACGACACTCTCTACTCTGCTTCTACTTCCACAGTTCAGATGCGACTTGTATAGAATCCCTCCCCCCAAAACCCATGTCAAAAATACACTGAAAAGGCGCATTGGTGCTCGTGACCTACCACACCCTAAACTGTACCTTAGAAAAAATCTCAATACTGTACAGTAGCTCCGGAGTACTTTAATTTTTACAGATACAGCAAATATCCAATCAAAACGAGGGAAAAAAACAGCAGAAAATACTCTCTCTGCTCATAAGGTATAAGTATGTACAGGTTCTTTTTTTCTTTTTTACATCTTAAACTTTCATTACAAAACCGTATTAACTATTTTGTCTTACTTTGTACAGTACTAACATTGAAGTGTGGCTTGAGAGGCAGTCGTGAGGGTGAGAAGGGAAAACCGTATTCTGGGACAGGCCGGAATTTCTTAAGCCTCTAAAAGCATAATACACAACATTCTCGACCCCTTCTTGAATCACAGTATATAAACAAGGTAATCTTCTATGTACAACCGCGATTTCGGTCAGTTCCACATTTGAGAACCGAGCCAGGCATCAACAGTTCATCCCTTACTTTTAGGAGACCAGGGGACACCGGGAAAATAATTTCTACAGACATTCAAAGGAGAACTGAAGATGGAGGGGTGGAAAGGTGCGTAGAGGAGCAAAGATTTAAGGGTAGTTGTAGGCCGGGTTGCTATTTTAACATTATAAGCCGACCCCGAAACACTGCTCAGGTTTAGGTCAAAACCTGTAAAGCCTGCCCAAAAGTGGAAACTTGTGAACTGTCACAGTTAAATATACACTGGGATGGAAAACAAAAACGGAAGATATGCTGATGTTTGTATTGTGATCAAAAGCAAAAATAAATTCAGAAATAAAATAGTTATTCTCTGCAAAAACATACAATCATAAGTGGGCTTTTAAAGAGGAAAACAAAACAATATAAAAAGGTACGTCGTGTCAACTCACTTTAATTTTAGCCACATTTAAAATCTTAAAAATATTCATAAAAAGGCAAAATTCTCAGTCCCCAAAAATATTGTCATAGACTAAGGAAGAAATATCTTCAACCTGAAACACTGCCCTTCCACCTTTTGTACACAATTGGCAAAAATATATAGATATATATTAACAGCAATAACTTACCATTGTTTTAATTTATTCATTTACTGACTTCTAAGATTCATGTTGCATCTCCCATAGGAAGGAAGCTTCAGTTCTCATTTGTACATCACAAAAATATTTAAATAAAAAATTAAAACTTCTAAAACCCCAAACTAGAGCCTCCCCCACATTCCATGGCAGTTTGTGATTTGGGCGACATAGTCTGGTGTCAAGGCTACATCAAATCTAGACCATGGTTCAGGTTTGTCCCAAGGTCCTGATTGGTGTTACCCGTCCCACTACTATTGCCTCCCAAAATGTCCGACTGTCCTCCTTGCCCACTGTGCAACCCACTCATCCCACTTAGCTGGGACATGATAGAGTTCTGGTCTGGTGTAAACTGGGCAGGATCTATAGAGGCTCCTGGGGGCGGCTGCTGCTGGGGCTGTGGGGGCTGTGGAGGGGCCATGGAGTGGTGCTGGCTGAGGTGGGAGGGGTGCGGGGAGCCAGTCTGAGTCTGAGGAGAGATGCGGTGAGGCGAGGGCTGGGGCTGCATGCGCGGTGACGGGCTGGAGTGAGGCGGCTGGGACTGTGGGCGCGGGGACGGCTGGGGGGATCTGACCTGGCTGCTTAAAGAGCCCGTTGGACCGAGCCCTGCCTGTCCCTGCAGGTGGGGCGATTGGGCCAGCTGCTGCTGTGGACTCAGGGGGCTGCTGTGCTGCGCCGGGGAGCCCCCTGTCAGATGTTGCTGCTGGAGTAGCCTCTGATGAATGTTCTGGTGCAGCATACCCTGGTTCTGGCCAAGTGGACCCCCTCCCACACCAGGCTGCTGCTGTGGCTGACCAGGACCTCCTGGTCCAGGTTGAAGTTGAGGTCCTCCTGGTCCTCCACCTGGCCCTCCATCTGGCCCGGGCATCCCACCCATTGCGTTCTGTTGTTGCTGGAGGTGCATTTGCTGCTGAAGTCTTTGCTGGAGGGCTGCTGCCACCTGGGAGGAGGCTCCCTGGTATCCCTGCCCAGGACCTGCACCCTGTGGTCCTCCTGGCTGCTGCTGGGCTCCAGGCTGAGGCTGGGAGGAGGGGGGCATACCTGGCTGGCCTTGACTCTGCATGAAGCCTTGCTGGCCCTGCTGCTGGAACTGGCCCTGGCTCATCTGCTGCTGTTGCTGCTGCTGCTGCTGCTGTTGCTGCTGCTGCTGCATCTGTCTCCGCAGCAGCAGTTCTCTAAACTGTTGGCCTTGCTGGCTCACCATCGTCCCCTGCTGTTGCTGCTGCTGCTGCAGGGCAGCCATCTGTTGCTGCTGAAGGTTTGGAGGCATCATGGGTCGCTGCTGTTGAAGCTGCTGCAATTGGGCCATGGAGGCCATGTTACCACCAGGAGCCCCTTGGCCCATGTTCATCCCGGGTTGGGCGCCCACCTGCTGCTGTCCATCCATGTTGGGTAACTGGTTAGCCCCAGGCCCGCCCACACCAGGGCCAGGGAATCTGCCTGCTCCTCCCTGTGCTGGCCCGTTTCCCCCTTGATAGCGTGCTGCCCTCTGCCTGATGAAAGCAGCCATGAGGGTGGGATTGGAGCGCAGGATGTTGAGGACCTGCTGCTGCTGAAGGGGGGAGCTCGGGGAGCGTAGCGTCCGAAGTAGCTCCTGTAGAGCAGCCTGAGGCAGATTTCCTCCTGCCCCAGCAAGGGCTGCTGCTGCTGCCCCCTGCATCATCCCACGGTTCTGCTGCTGGCTTATCTGCGACTGTTGTGGGGGAACCTGCTGCTGCTGGGGGTTCATGTGACTCAACATTTGCGGCCGCTGCTGTGCATTCATAGATGCTCCTGTAGAGCCCCACTGCTGGTTGGGAGGCATCTGTCCCCCTCCCTGCTGCACCTGTTGAAGTTGCTGCTGGACTTGGGGAGGAAGCTGGCCTTGGGGACCTCCCATCATCCCGGGCTGCTGTTCTATCATAGTCCTGGCCACCCCCTGTCCCTGGGGGGGCATGCTCTGGGAGCCCATGTGCGACATGCCCATCTGAGCCTGAGGGTTCGGATGGTGAGTGTGGGGTGGCAACATGCCTCCTGGACCCATAGCCCTGATCTGGGCCATCTGTCTCTGGGATTCTGCTAGACGCTGGATTTTGAGAGCCGTCTCTACAGCTGCCAGTGGAGGTCCTTGTTGGCCTGGGATAGACATGGAACCCTGTCCTTGAGAAGGTTGCTGCTGAGGTGGTGTGGCAGGACCCAGTCCAGGTTTTCCCAATGAGTGCATTGGAGAGGCGCCTGATGGTCTGGGGTTGTAAGGAGGCAGAGCACCCGGATGCTGCTGGAGCTGTGGGACATTGGACTGCTGCGGTAGTGAAGGGACCATCTGCTGAGGGACGTTCATCATGCCCCCGCCTCCAGGCCCTGACAAGGGAAACTGGTGCATGTGGTGCTGAGGGTGGGGGCCGCCTGGCTGTGGGACCTGTTGTGGCTGTCCACCCATTGGCCCCAGGCCCACTGTCTGCTGTTGGGGCAGAACCATGTTTCCTTGTGTTGGTGTCTGTGGGGTTGAAGGCTGAGTCCCCACTGATGTTGGGGTCCCAGGACCTGTCGCACCATTGTTGGGTCCTGGGGACGGAAGGCCATTTCCACCAGGGCCACTTCCAGGGGTAGGCTGTCTCTGCATGCTGGCCATCCTGCGGCGCAGCATCTGCGCCTGCTGTAAGCGGTGCTGCAGTTGCTGCTGTCGCAGCTTGTGCTTGATGTTGAGGCAGAATGGGACGGGACACTTGTTCTCTTGACAGTGCTTGGCGTGATAACAGCACAGAGCAATGAGCTGTTTGCAGATGGGGCAGCCACCATTGGTTTTTCTTTTGCAGCCTTTTGTGTGCTGCACCACACGCTTCATCTTCTGGCAGGACGGCAGAGAGCAGTTGGCGTTTCGGCACTGGCAGGCGTGGACCAGAGACTGGATGCAGCGCTGGATACTGAGGCGACGGGAGTCCCCAGGGCTCTGGGTAGTGGCAGCCGCCTGGTTACTGCTTTCATCATCCAAGCCAAGGCCTAGCTTCTCCATCTTGTGGTCATGGCCCTTAGCGTTGTAACATGTGATGCAGAGGTCGTAGTCCTAAGAATAGTCAAATATAACTTTATAAATTAAGCTGACATGGCACGGAAATAGTTTATACAAAAACAGAGAAAAACTGACCTCGCAGACAGTGCAGTGGAAGCGGGTCTCCACATGATGCTTGCATTCATTGCAGGTGTATACAAAGCGGTCTTGACTTTGGTTATGCAGCTCCACCAACATACACATAGTACTCCATTTGGACCTTCTGAGAGAGCTGAATTCAAGGTGTTTGTCCCGTGCCAAAGTGAGAAAAGCATCACGGCCATCCATCAGGTCACATGCCATCAGAGGATCAGGGTCTGAAATTGGGGGCAAGGCGTTTGCCATTGGGCCGGCAATGAGCCGGATCACAAAAAACACCTACAAACAAATCAAGATTAAGTAAAAACACAGAATATCGAAGGGAAAACACAATTTTCCAGTTGTACAGTGATCCATAGTTATATTCACACAGTCTTAAAATACCTCTTTGTGTTTCTCCATAGTGGCATAGAGTTTCTGTGACAGATCATTGGAGACATTGGGCATCCCAGGTTTCTTCTTATTGGCTCGGCTCAAGCTGCTCTTGTTCTTACTCGTCTTCTTATTGTTCTTCTTCTTTGCATTTTTACTGTCACCCTTTGTGTCCTACAGAATAACAATAAAATTTAAGTTATTTAAAGTTAAGGTAAAGTTCTGGCAGTTTGTATGTAAGCACAAGACACTCACATCAATGCTTTCATTTGAAGTGCTGTTTTCCTCCCTTTTTCGTTCCTCTTCCTCTTGCTCCAACTCTTTAATGCTCTCTTCAAGCACATTAGGCCAAAAGTCGCCCTCAAAGTAGGGCAACTCTTTAGCACTGGTCAGACGATCCTCAGTGGCTTGCTTGAAGATGTCCTTTGAGTAAAATCAATAAAATACAAATGATGAGCCTTTAAAGGTACATTTGATAAAACCCATCCGTTAAATAGTTTTGCTTTTGCCTACCTTGTAGTCATGCACTATTCGCTCTGCTACTGCCTTGTCCAGCATCTTTTTATACCACTCCTGAAGACGCTTGGGTTTGGGAATCTTTTGATCAGCAGGATGACAGTGGAAAATATAGTCATCCCCTTCACTTGGAGGGCAAGCCCAAATGTGGCCAGTTGTATAGCTGCAAATACAAAAAAATAAATAAATAAACCTAAACCCCAACAATCTTTGGCCTTTGCTTTAAAAGGAAATCTCACTCACCCCAATCGTTTCACATATTCCAAATATCCAAGGAGAATTTCATGGTAAACTGCAGTTCGTAGGCTTCGAGGTCGGAAAAAGTGCACACTGTCCAGGTAAGAGATATAGACCCTCCTATGTGAATGACAGAGAAAATATTCCGTTTGAGTATAATAACAGAAAACATTTACAAATAGCCATCTTATGTTTGTTTATTTATTAACTATGGAACAGTGCACATTGATCAACATGTGTTAGTACAGCATGTAAATGTGGCAGAGTTAGCTGTGCAGGCTCATTTTCGTCTGTAAAAAAAACAAAAAAACAACAACACTGTACCTCTGGTTAGGCTGAGGGCAGTCTGATCCATATTCTTGTACATGCATTCCAAAGAAACAGACATCTGCCCCATCAATATCTTCAAATGCAAAAAGGGCTTTTGTTCTATAGGGAAATGACTCTGACATCTCCCCACTGTCCACAAATCTAGAGCCAAATATATGGGTATGAACAAGAGAATACAAAATTAAAATACTTATTTTCTTCAAATTATTGCCTACCTTGACTTCATTCCTGGTTTGACCTCCACAACTTTATCAGAGACATGGACAACACGAATGAAGACTTCTCCAGCCTCTGGGTGACTCTGTCGTTTCAGATAGTCATTTACCCGCGTCTCCAAGTAGCAGCCCAGCTTTGTCTGGGGCAACCCTGTTCATCAGTGGCAATTTTGTTTAGTTTTATGACAGTAATAACATCATCTAGCTAGAGTATGTATTAAGATGTGAGTGATACTTACTTTTGGCAGAGTATTTATTTTCTTTCCTTGTCTTATTTGTCTTTTTCAAGCAGCCGTCACATACAAAACTGTTTACATGTACAGACAAGAAGACAAAAAAGTAAATAATTGTAAGGCAAACAAATAAAAAGTCCAAAAAAAGAATGCTCACCCAGATGGCCATATTGTGTCATTATGCAAAACACAAATCTGGTGCATCCTCCTTCCACAATCCATACATTCAACAAACCTAAAGAATTAAAAGACATAATTAAGTAAGAAGATGCATTTCACTTGATGTCGATTGGCCAGTGGAAATGAAAAACTTACAGTTCAGGATCCAGTGTGTCATTCTTCTTTTTCTCAAACTGATCCTTGTTGATAGATCTAAAAAGGAGAAAAATGTCATTCTAAAAACAAATCCAATAAATGATTTCAAAACTTTATAAAAACAGCTTCACTTGTGATTGTAAAATTTTTACTCTGACAAAAAGAGAATATTGTAGTTAATTCTACTTCATGTTCCATCAGCGTTGTAATTGAAAGGGTGGCTGGACTGTTCTTCAAATGTTTAGATGTCATTTATTTTTTTCAGTCAGACAATGTTATAGCGCCAATAAATAAAAAGGCACAAAGTACAAACTATTACCATTAATGGTTACCCCTTTGCTGTAAAGAAGTGCATAAATAGTGAATGTCTAAATATAAAAAATAAAAAGGTTTCTGATACTCACGTCTGAGGTTGCGTGGGATCGTCTCCCAGGGAAACCGTCTCTCCCTGGATCTCGTTGAAACACTTCTCACAGAAGTGGTACCTGTCAGCAAGAAGCCCAAATTTTGGTGAACTACACCATTCCCACAGCCCAGTCAATCACAGACAGTGCATGGGAGGGCAGTCGCCAAGCGGGACAGGGCACGGGCAAGGCAGGAAGCCAGAAGCGGCGCAAGCAGGAAGGAGCGCAGGACAGCGGGAAGTCGTCATCACAACAGCCAGGCATGGATTTGAGGGGTGAGGGTGGTGGGATGGGGAATGGGTTTGGAGGTGCATGGTTGGTCAAGGCACAAGCAAGCCAATGTTGACATCACAGCCATTGGAAGCAAGGACAAGACAAGAGACATGGACCAGAAACAAGACGAACATCCAAGACAACACACAGCAGAGAGCCGAGGCAGAGCACAGATTAGCAAATTGGATATGAAAGGATGACATACACCATCACAGCAAACAGAACAATAGCCAAAACTATGGGAACACTACAGCATGGTGAAAGGAAGCAGGGGAGGCTCTAGCACAAGACAATATAGAAACATCCAACAGTTATGAACATTAAAGTGTTGGCGACTGCTCAGGTCAATCATTCAATATTTTAACTTTAGTTTCATTAATGATTATTAACAAATTAATTAATATTACTACTTCAAAATAACTACCCCCTAGTATGTACAATAGGAATTTTACAATAATTCCAAACCTTGGTTGTTTAACCCCTTCCATACCTGTTCTGGTAGCTAAAGTAAGCAGCATCTCTGGGAATAGTGCACAGCTGCTTCCCATAGCAGCACAAGGTCTGAGGAGAGAACTCCAGCTGATGGAAGAAAAATAGATGAGTGAAAAGTTGTCTATAGTACCATTAATACTTTATTATCAACCACTGGCAAATATAAAATTATTTATATTAAAAGAATTGAATTCATGCTAATGTGGCTTTTAATCTATTTGCACATCTCACCTTCCTCCCACAGCAGTAACCCAGGGACTGCATGACTGGGTCAATCTCCTGCTCAAAGACCTCAGCGAGCTTGGAGCAGTACTTGTAAACTCTAGATGTTTTGCGGTTGTACAGCCAGGCATTGTTGAACATCAGCCAGACATCGTCCACATACTGCCATGGATCCTGGTATTGACCTGAAGACGAAAGAAAAGATCCCAATCATAAACTGTCACAAGCCACTCCAATAATGGAGGATACTCATTTCAACAAGTGCCAACCTGTATCAAGTTTCCTTTTTATTGTTGACAGGTCCATAGGATTCTTCACAATGTCAAAATAATCCTGCAATATCATAAGTAGATGTATTATTTGAATGCAACAAGCCTAAATACTTCAAAGTGTGAACTTTGATAATTGATGGTAGAAGCACATACAGGTATACACAGCAGTTGGGGGTCGACAGGCATCCGAAAGGGCAGAGACTCTGGGTCTTGTCGATACAGTGACTCCAGTGTAGGCATCAGAGCCTGACGCAGCTCCTCAGGCTTAAAGACTAAAAAGAGCAGAATATAAAAGGTCATTATACAAGTCAAACCTAATTCAGATTAAAACAAATACAATGTGCACTTACTCTTTTTCTTTGCTGGTGCCTGTGGAGTGGTTTCTGTAGAACCCTCTTCGTCCTTTACCTCCTTCTTGATATCTGGCTTTCTGTCCTCTGTCTTGACACCTGACGTTGTGGACAAAGAGGATGTGTCCATGGGGGCTCCTTTGCCCCCTTCGTCAGAGCAGTCCTCCTTCTTCAGCTCACATTTCACAGGTTTCTCCTCAGTCTTAAGGTTACTGAGCTTGCCTCCTTTGGAGCAGCTGCCGGCGTCGCTCTCCTCCTCTTCATCCTGCTGCTTGATCTCCATCTTGGAGTCCAGGTTTGTGGTGGAGGTGTCTGACTGTGGCTGCTGCGAAGAAGTATCCAAACTACTGACAGAGGCTGGAGTATGAGCTTGGCTGTCTGGTGGAAAGGAGCCCTTCTGGGACAGCTAATAATAGAGACACAAAACATTAGTACATCCACACATACTACCAACACCACTAAATTCACTTGTTGAAAAGTGTAGAAGCATATGAGACACTGACTGGAGTGCGTGGAAGCTGAGCATGTGCTGTGGAGGCTAGTCCTGGATGTGACGGAGTGGTGGAGCCTGCTGCCCCCATGTGCTGCTGAAGAGGCTTATTTGAGCCTGGGCCCTGGCCAAGCTGGTTTGGCTGGGGCGCAGCTGGGGGAGGCAGTTGGGCTGCTCCGGGGGTGTGGGGTTGAGGGGTCTGGGATCCAGGTATTCTGGGAGGCGTCTGGTGAGGTGTGGGGGACCGACTGTGAGCAGGAGAGGGAGAGCTGCCTCGCATGGCTCCCAAATGCGAGATGGCATTTGGTTGCTGGTTCGCATTAGGAGTCATTGAAGAAGCAGGGGGTCCAACAGCTGAGTTTGGACCTCCACTGCCAACGCTCTGGGGACCCAAGGGCCCCACTGTGGAGGCACCACTGGGGCCACCGACTGAGCCTGGCTGTGCGAGAGGACTGGCTACTGGAAGAGAAGGAGGAGTGCCCATCTGCGTCTGGAGGGAAGAAAAGGGGAATGTTAATTTGCTATGTTAGTTTATATCAGACTACTGTGAACTCAATCAGAAGAGGTAAAACACTGGTGGCCATCCATACCTGTCCCATGCCTCCCGGTGCACCTGGCTGAGCCATCCCTGGTTGGACTGCACCCACACCTGCACCTGAGCTGGGAAACTGCCCCTGCGACATGTATTGGTTTTGTAGTTGGTTTACATTGGGTTGCCCCATCCTGGGCCCTACCATTCCCAACTAGAAAGACAAAGAGCATGAGCACTGCAGTGACATCCTTTAGCTATTAAATGATAGTAATCTGAGAAATGCCAACCTGGTTTCCTGGTGCACTCATAGATAGAGGAGGGGTGGACCTCTGCCCCATAGTTGGCATGCCCATTTGATTGAACTGATTCATACCTTGAAAAGAAGAAAGACTTTAATACAAATGCATCCAACTAACTCAGGCTTTAGCTCAAACTTAGGCATTTCTTACCTGGTCCTTGCATCCTGTTTAACTGATTAGGTCCGGCTGCTCGCACCATAGATGGATCAGGAAGAGGACCATCTGTATCAGAATAGACAAATTGGAAAAATGGCATTTACACATTTGACATTAAAACTTAAAAGTTTGAAGAATTTCAGTAGCATCTGCTCACTTGGAGGTAGTCCTGTGGGGGGCTGTCCCATACCACCTGGTCCAAGACCCAAGCCCTGCTTTTGGAGCCGGGTCCTCCTCTTCTCCTCTAGCTCCTTCTGGATCTTGTAGATCTTTTCAGCAAGCAGGTGATAGTACTCAGCCTGTCAAATAAACATTCTGTAAGTCATCCAGATCCAAGTCTGTGCTGCAGAGGGGTCACAGGTAAACTATGGAGCTTTTAGATTTAGACACGCAGGATAACTTACTCTTGTGTTAGCTGACTCATACATGTCTCCCTCTACTTTCCGAGCATAAGCCACAAGGTTGTCCATTCGCCGGTCCTTCAGTGCTGCAGGATCTGGTGTTGGGAAGATTGCTTGCACACTGTAGACGGTAAAAAAAACACAATAGCATTTAGGGCTAATGCAAGTATATTAGATCAATGTTACACATAACAGGAGTACTCACAGTTTGTGGACCAAGTGGTTTCTTAGGTCTTGTGTGATGTCCTCATGCCAGCTTTTTCTCATGCCAGTGGCAGAGGGAGGAGCTGCTGTGGGCATAGAGCCAACCCCACTTGCATCGTTTAGAAGACTGGTCAAAACAAAACACGCACTGGTTGAATGATTTTACAGTCCAATGATGTGCAACAAAAAAAATATTTGCCCTTACCCTTGGTTGTTCACGTTTAGATGCATCATAGTGTCTTGTAGCAAACTTGCTTGCTGGTTCTGAGCAGCAGTTCCCACACCGCCATTGACTCCCATAGGATTTGGACCTAAAATAAAAAAATAAAAAAATTACATTCCAAAAGAAATGATATATTTTACATACAATGTTTTTGAGGGTGCCCAACAATTAGGTGCACTGTTCGTTCTGAAACATGGGAGCACCTACTGCCTTGCAACCATCACAGTAGTAGCACGTTCATAAGAGCAAGCTGTTGTGTTGCACAAGACCACAAAACCACCAACCTATGTTGGTCAACATTTCAACCACTCCAATTTTACAAATCTATTAATGTATACCAGAAGTTAAACAATTAAACCATGCACACAACCAAACTTACCCATGGGGTTGAGTGGCCTCATGCCAGCCTGGCCTGACAGACCTTGACTGGGCATGTTGGTCTGGGACGTTTGAGCCTGGATCTGGTTTCCTTGGTAGGGCAAACCCAGGGCTTGATAGGCTCTTTCAATAGAGCTGGGGTCAATTTGGCTCGTAGGGTTGAGGTTGGGCGCACTGGGCTGGCCACCGGGAACTGCACCAAGAGAGCTACCCAAACCTGCAGCAGCCCCTGCCAGGAGAGCTGTGAGCAAAAGAACAGCAGGTAAATAAATGAGATTTTAAAAAGTCTTTACTGATCAATGATGAGAATGAAGAAAAGGAAGAGTGAAATATAGTTTGGCTTGGTCAGATACAGACACTCACACTGCGGGTTCCTCTTGTCCCCAGCATTCTTGAGTGGCAGACACACAGGACAGTCGTGTCGGGTACAGTTCTTCCAGTGGGAGATGATCTGCCTCGAGGATGCACAGTGAGCCACTGGAAAGGTGAAAAGTGCAGGAAAAAGTATATGAAGTGTTGTTTAACAAAGACAGAGGCAGTAGTAAGTTAACTTGTTAGACTAGACAGTAAGGTAAACATATGCATTTTCAGTGACATTTACTTAATACAAAGTTTTTCAAAGAGAATCAACAGCCACACTGCAAATATAACAAGACATTACCACAGTAGTTAAGCAGTCAGTGGTTTTATGGTTGGTATATGATTTGTTTATAGTTTCTGTTTTCTTCTCACCTTGACAAGATTTGCCAGCCTGGCAGTGGGTCATGTGATTGAGGACGTTCTTCATAGTGCGACAGTGGGGCAGGTTGCATTGCCGGACTTCTCCATTGGCCTGTTCTCGGCGCTGGCACTTGTGTGCGTGTAGCAGCAACACCAATTGTTGCTGAATAAGTTTGCGTTTCTCTGGGTCAGCTGTGGGTGGCGCTACGGCAGCAGTAGAAGCAGCAGAAACGTGGGCCCCAGAACCCACCAGACCACCCTGTGCACCAGGCACCATCCCTGCGGGTCCTCCTACTGGTGCACCAGGGGTACCCCCCAGCCCTGCCTGCGTCTGCGGAGAGCCCTACAAATGAGGCCAAAAAAGGCCACTAGATTAGAGCCAGAGGAGGAGGACTGATTAAAACGGTCAAAAAGTCTGATCAATCACATACCATAGCTGCCATTCCTTGCATTGGGGAGTTCTTCTTATCCACACCAAACTGGGCCAGACTGTTTGCCATGGGACCTTTGTTCTGTATCTGAGGGCCCAGCCCTGCACCTCCCATGCCTTGGTTCCCCTGTCCTTGATAAGAACCAACAAAGGTCCCACTGGAGGCCATCATCCCCATCTGTACACAGTGAAAAACAGGTCAAACTGCATTATTTGCTTTTAAAATGTATATATTTTATTTACATATATATATATATATATATATATATATATACTACACACACGCACGCACACACACACGCACACACACACACACAAGTTTTTGCTTTTGCAGTGATATTTTGGAGGTTTGAAACAAAATCTAACATATGTCTTAATGATAGTGGGTATTATGCCCCTGGGCATTATGCCAAAAAGCATGTCATGATTTTGTAAAGCGTAAATCATGATTTGAAAGTGCTTGCAGTTAATATCTAAAAATACTAGTAACGCAAGTCAGCAGTTGCTTTTGAGAATTAATTCACACTGGATTTAAGAAAAGCACTGAATCTCAATATAACAACATTTTCACTAACATAGCACGTTACATGATCAGGTCATTATTCATTTTTATCATTATATTGCCCAACCCCATGTGAGATGATGCTAATTAACACATAATTACACGTAATTGTGCCTCGGATATCAAAGTTTTCATGTAAAATGTAGTTTATGATTTCTTCTTTGAGGAATTCACCGAGCGGTAGCACTAGTTTATCCTGTCTGCACCTTGGCTGTGCCAAGTCATGTCAACAAAATGACAATATGCAATTTATGAGAAGGGATTTTAAGATATTTATGTGCACCAACAGACATTTGTGTTTAAAATTAAACTAGTTTATACTGAAACATATGCTTACTTACTTATAGAAGCCAAAAGACAACACGAGTCTCTCAACAAGTACTATATCAAAGTATAGACATTAAATTAACTGAAAATAATAAATTCTATTGGCACATTGGTACATGATGGTTTGACTGAGATGACAGTAGACTACTGTAGAGCACACTTACCTTGTTCAGGGCTCCTGGTTGCTGGCCTCTCATGCCTGCTTGGCCTGCAGGTCCCTGTAGTGTCTCTGCTAACAGGTTGCTGTTGTTGCCCATCCCCTGGTTAACAAATCCCATGCGGGGAGATCCATTCACCTGGTTTGCCATCATGCCCGGCTGCTGTCCATTGTTGGCCTTTTGCTGGGCTCCCATCATGCCCCGGTTCATGCCGGCCATCATCCCTGCGTTCTGCTGCTGCATCAGTGACGCCTGTTGCTGAGGCGACAGGTGCTGCTGAGGAGACAGGTGCTGCTGCCCCTGGCCCATCATCTGCGGAGCGCCTGGGCCTGGAGAGGCCTTCATGTTTGCTAGGTGTTGGCTCATGGCGGCTGGACCCCCAGGAGTGCTCATAGGATGGCCTGGTTGGGGTGGAGGGGGGCCCCCGGACCGTAACAGCTCCGACAGTTGTTTGTGCTTGGCCACAGCATCCTGACCAGTGCCCTGGACCCCTGCGGAGCCCAGTCCCAGGCCCATTCCAGCCCCAGGACCACCCATGCCGGCTGGGCCTCCTCCCAGGGTGGTGTGCAACTGGTTGACATCCCCACCGTTGACCAGGCTCGGTTCATTTGAACTGATGAGCTCGTCAGGAAGGTCGTGCTCCAAGTCAAACAACGAGCCAAAATCTAGAATGAAGCAGAGAGAATGGTTCATGATTAGGCCAAAGCAGGATAGTAAGCAGTGCGTGAGTTACAGCTATATTACTCTGGTTTAATCCACTACTTTGTTGACAACTCATGATGAAAATTTAATTTACTACTTAAACCCAATTAGTGTCTGATCAGTTCACTCAAATATCAAACATATAGCAAATATTAGTGAGGCTCAAGACGGTCCAGACATAGATAAAAGTTACTGCATGCATTTCATGCTGATTTGTAAACAAAAGTTAACTGATAGAGGTAACCATGATTTGAGCCAGTAAGTAATGGCTTCAGACAGACATATTAAGCAACTATAAGGAATGGATGACAACATGGACATCCAAACCACTACAAACACACCTGCTACTACACACGCCATAGTCGGTGCACAGACACAACAATAAAGACGATATTAACCTCCTCACAAACTAATATTTCCCAGACATGCAAATGCTTTAACCTCAGAACATTCAGAAGGAATTGTGAACCCTGAACAGGAAAGCCTAAACACAACCTTTTGCCTACAGACCATCATAGTGACCATCATACTGCGAAGGTGAAGCGTACAGATGTGTGCCCACAATGGATGCTACTACAAGCATAAGATACGCAGATGACCTGACATACTGCTCTTCGGATATTAACAGACTTTTCTGTGACAATCTTCTTTCATATTCAGCCAATGGACGGTCACTTGATACTGTTATATTTGAGTGATAAGACTGTCCTTTGACCACACACTGCTTCACAGGCCACTATTCCAGTTGCTGCCACACGCCGTGCACAAAAACATACCAACAATAGCAATTTAAGCTTAACAATCAAGGGGACGAAAAGGCCTAAATTTGGCAATCCAGCAAGGCTAGCACCGTGCAACTGCTGCTTTCGTTAGTACTATCAGGGAACGAGTTATGATGAAGCAAAACAACAGACTGTTTTGATCATTAGGGCCCCAAATCTACAAATAGTGCAATGGTATGTCAACCACTGGCATTGGATTTGACACGACAACAGAAACAAGACACTTTATTGTGCGTTGCAGTGCCACTGCGCTTTTTATTAGCCGTTTAGACATGGGTCCGTCAGACGAGGACCGCATAGCTACTCCTCGGTAGCCGTAGTAGAGTTAGCTAAATCGCTAACCCCGGCTAAAATGGCTGTTAGCTTCAAAGCTAGCTCTTCATCACGTCCGACACACTCCCTGTAGCACGCTAACCACAGCTAGCTACGACAAAAACAGTACAGCAATCCCGCTTATTTTCCTATCTTAGACCAACATGGGCCGAGTATAATGATTAAAGTAACCAAACACTAGCCCAATAAGTCATCTGGGTGAAGAATACTTACCATTTCCATCGCTAGCGGAGGCGGAAAGTGCCGGAGAAGAGAGTTTAGGCCTCTTGGCTGAAGGCGGGCCAGAGTCCAGAACGTTCTCGGCCATATTTTTTCGAAATAAAAATATATAAAGTATCCACAATTGCAGGCGTTTTCACGCCCTTAGAAGCGCATTCCTTTTCGTTTCCAATATTGCGACTTTTCCCCCTCCTTTTGGGGGACTCAGAGGGGGAAAGTCCCGTGTACAAATGACTCCTCTTCCCTGGGTTCGCCTCTCGATTTCAGCCTCGGCGTATATCAGCCCCCCTCCTCCCCTCCCTCGTCGGATTTTTTGTTCTTTATAAATTTCTGCCAGCGGAGGAGGAGGGGGTCGGCGAAAGTAAAGAGGGAGACACGCGAAGAGCCTTCCCTCTAAACTTCAACTGCCTGCTCGGGATTAAAAGCACCGCGCCTCGGTCCGTCGTCCATGATTGCATCCGTCATTAGAGGCTGCTTTCCAGCGGAGTGGATGTAGATAATGTCGGGCAGGAGCGGCTTGTTTGCGGGCTGCGAAGTGATGGTGCTGCTGCTGCTGGGCGCAGCGGTGGAGCAAGAAGGGATGCAGCTCCTATGAAGCCCACTCACTGACTCTCGGATATAGCACTTTTTCTATCCTTTTATTTTCAATATTACTACAACGATTAGATACAGAACACTACTGAGCAAAAGAACCCACAAAGCTCATTTAAAGCTGTCATGACACGTTAGACTAGTGAAAAAGTTATTGAACTTTTCTACTCATTAAAATGGAGTTATCAAACATTGTCTCTGAGTAACATCTAGACTAATAAAAGAAGCTTTGTGGGTTACTCAATTTTATTGTAAAACTCCCTCAGTAAATTTAGGATGCATGACACGTGATTTTTGTGCTACAAAAGATGATGACCAGCAGGCCTAATAGCAGCTAGACTCTTTCTGTTCCCAAGTGTCCCGTTGAGACATTGGTTTCCTTATAGGTTCTGTACCTAAGGATATTGTTTTATAGCCTACAGATTTTTGTATTTAATTGATTTTAATTAATATACTTCCCCCTTAAATTTAAGTGACATTTCCAAAAATTACAATCTAGACCTAGGCCGACATAAATAAGTCTCTTAACTGTAGGCTAAGGTTGATCTGTTAAATGTCTCTGTTTAGACAAACTTTAGGCCTATCAAATGTGCATAAATACCCAAACTAAATGTGACAAAAAGACTAAATCTACAAGTTGAAGACCTTGTACACAAAGGCAATTGCTTAACTTTACCAATATATAACAGAGTGGGATGATAATGGCTCATACTGGAGCAGTAGTGAGCAAAAATTTAAGTTGTTAATTGATTGTAGTTCCAAACACCAGTCCAAACTTGTTGACTGTGGGGTTCCTATATGCTTTGCATGTCATGTCAGCGAGTAGCAGGACTTAGTTTTACCTGCCCTCCCAGGACAGGTAAAATCCATATAATCTATGGTGAAAAAACTTTTCTGTTTGTCTGACTGACTGGAGTCTCGATCTGTGTTCTATTTTGTGTGTGCATGGTGTCTTTAGAGCTCTAAAGCTATAAAGGGCATTACGTGTAAGACATTATTATTATTAAAGTAGTGAATATAACAGTGTAAGTATGTAAGTCAGTTATTCTATAAAGTGATTAAATGGGAGTACCTCTGAGTTGGTGTGGGTACAGTAGCCCACTGCCCCTGACAGGGTGTCCAGCAGCAATTGGATGGATGAAGATCATCCATATTTACATAAGCAGACATGAAAAGACATGAATATGCAAGCCTATGACCAGATATTTCATGGAAAATGTCACAAAAGGAAATAAAAAAGAACTGTATGAAGTCAAACTGAAGAAAGAAAAGTTTTAGTTGCAAGAAGTCTTAAAATGCTTACTTTTACTACACACCAAGAATCCTCTCAACAAAATCAGAAAGTAGCACCATTTCAGTTAAACAGACTTAAACAAACTTCATTGACCCACACTGAAAATTCCTTGGACACAGTACACATTTATAATAACACATAGCAAAAAAACAAATGGTTATAAAATTCATAATAATTAAAGTATAGCAAAGATAGCAAATATTTGTTTCTAAGGTACAAACATACATAATAAATTAACCCTCTTTTTGTAAAGTGGGCTCAGTATCACTGCCAGTGGCCTGAGGTGGTAAGGAGGTTCATTCTGGAAGTTTGCTCTTTCTTGTGGTACTGTCTCCAGAGCATGGAGGAGATTCAAGAGATGGAGAGGTATTCAAGATCTGGGCAACCCGCAGGACTATAGGAGGTCCAGAAGAGATCAGATCACTTATACAGCACATTTGAATCATTCTCGCACAGTAGTTCCCATGAAAATTAAAGGTTCCCTATTCATCTCCACCAGTTATATTCAAACACCAAATAAAATTCACAATACATATTTAAAACAATAAAATAAGACATTGCAATAATTAAAGGGCTCATATTACTCTATTTTTTCATCAAAAACATGCCTGGAGTTGTGTTTTGCTTCTTTCATACACATTTACTGCATATCTAGGTTGTGTTCTTCTATTATACTGAAAACACTCTGTTCCACCTTGTGATGTCACATGGTAATATGGGAAGTATTTGGATAATTTCAGACTTGGAATTGGCAATATCTACTGAACAAACAGTAAAAGGGAGCTGTTAACTTGAAAACTACCACTGCATGACATCACAACATGGAACAGAGCATTTTGAGCTTTGGAGATGTAGACAGTCAAATAATGTAACGTTACTCAAACAAGTGTTAAAGAAACAAATCACAACTGCAGTTATGTTTTTTGAAGAGGTAACAACATTATAACAAGGCTTAAGGCAAGGCAAGGCAAGTTTATTTGTATAGCACAATTCGTACACAAAGTAATTCAAAGTGCTTTACAGAATAAGAAATACATTAAAATCATAATAAAAACAAATCAAAACATAAATAATCATGAATCATTAAAAGTCACAAAAGACAAATTTGTGTAATATAAGATTTTTAAACTTCGTACACTTTTACCAGAATCATTTGGATATAATTCAAACCTATAACTGCCAATTTCTGCTAAACAAAAGGTGAAAGGTAGCTGTTACCGCTTAATGACAGCACAAGGTGGAACAGAGTATCTTGGTCTATGGATATGTAGATGGCATAATAATCCATAATAAACGATTAAGATATGTTTTTGAGGAGGTAACAGCTTTATAACATGGCTTTAAGATCACAAGAGTTAATTTAGTGTAATATAGGATAAATATTATTAAATAAAATTAATAATAGTTTTAAAACCTTTAAAACACACTATGACTATCTGAATCTAAAATGAACGTTTTCCCAATGTGGCATTATTTTAGGTTTTAAATTTTACTACCTGTTACCTAGCAATCATGTGGTACACTGAGCCAAAACTCCTCTAATGTACACAGAAATCATTATAAAAGAAATAGCGATATAAGAAAACAAACTTTATTTGAATGAAATGACGTTTAGTGTCTGAAACGTGTTTCTTGTGTTAAATTAATTGTGTCAACATTTTTGATAGAATTCTCTCAGTGTAATGTCATCAATTTTCAATATTTGTTTCCTTCACAAATTGCTTCTTGATTACTGTAAAACTTTAAACTTTATTGTCCTACAAAATTAAGTCACAATTAAAGACCCATAAAACCCTTAATACACATAAATATTTTTTTTAATTTAAAATAGTTATGCCTGGTTGGACCTTGTGTGGAGGAGTTCAGATTTTTTGGTCCAGATGTGGGAGAACAATAGCATCTCCTGTGCTGTCAGTAGAATCATGGCCCATTGTAAAACACATGCAGCACATATGGCTGAATAGGCTTTAACTAGCTTGTCGATGAATTGGCCAATGGTGTCTTAGTCAACCAACATTTTTATCTTTTGGACTTAGACAAACTTTATTGAACCACAAGAAAAATTATTTGGACATAAAACATGTCAATGTCATGTTCAAAATCAGTAGCAAAAATAGCAAGGCATTGGTGCCAAATAAGGTGAAATTATTTAAATGTACACGTACCAAAAAAAAAGAAAGAAATATAGTAATACTAATATATCACAGATACACAAGAGGTTGCAAGGAGAAATGATAATATGATGATTGACAGGACAGGGTTATCTGTTTACATAATGGTGAGTTGTTGTACAGTTGTAGAATATGGTGAATGTAGTCCTGTATTTCTCACTGTTTGAGCAGAGTTGTAGGAGCCTGTTGGAGAAAGAGCTCCTCTGTCCCTCTATAGTCTGGTGCAGTGGGTGAGCAGGAGTGTCTATGATGGAGAGCAGTTTGTCCAGTGTCCTCCTGTCCCTCACTGTGACAAATGTCTCCAGCTCACAGCCGTTACCAGCTTAACGGATCAGTTTGTCAATCCTCCCAATGTCCCTTTTACTGATACTGCTCCCCCAACAGACCACAGCGAAGTACAGGGTGCTGGCCACCACAGACTGGTAGAAGATCTTCACTATCTTGCGGCACACTTTGAAAGACCTGAGCTTTCTCCGAAAGTATAGAGTATTACAGTTGTCCCTCTAGTCCAACCTGTTGTTCACATGGACACCAAGGTACTTGTAGCAGTCCACTATTTCCACGTAATGGCTCTGGATGGTTACGGCTCCATTGGTGTCCTCTTCCTCCTGAGGTCAATCATCAGTTCCTTGGTCTTGTCACGTTCAGGAACAGATGGTTAGCCTGGGACCACTCCACAAAATTTGCAATCAGTGTCCTGTACTCCAGTTCCTGTCCGTCTTGGATACACCCTCCCACCACAGAGTTACCAGAGAACTTCTGCTGGTGGCAGGGTCTGTCTGTAAAAATAGATTAAACTCATGATTTTCAAGTCTTAAATACGCTGTTCCTAGTACTTTCTCGGCACAAATAATTTTTGCATGAACAGTCTTGTGAGTGCAGTTTAGTTCAGATACATAGAAAGAGATTAATAGTATTGAGAGCTTTTTCTATGCCCCCTTTTTAATCCACTAATCACAAGCAAGACATGCCGTTAGTCGACTATAGCCCTAAACACAGCACAGAGCTTACTTCAACAACACTCCGTCTGTTTTGTCATTTAGTTGTTCTGTGCTGTGGCCAATATTCAAGCAAAGTTTTACTCTGACACCTTTTTATGTATGCATTTTGTTTGATAATAGTTTATATTTTATTGTTATTACTCTTTGATTTATGTTGTGCAATATTGCCAAAACACATTCCTAACTTGTGAATGGTAATAAAACATGATACTGATTTCTGGTTTTATTGAGGTTTGCAAAGATGGCATTTCAACAATAAGGCGTTTTCAGATAACATTTGGTCTGTATTATAAGTATTACAGAGTGAGCATGACTTTTCTCATTCTGAAATATGATGTGTTTGTTGAATTCTTTTGAACTCAAGCCTGTATATCATAAAACACGGGCTGTAATCATTAGAGCTCGACTCCATCTTGTAGCAGAGCTGCAAAGTAAGAAGCGGGCGCACTGGTTGATGAACTGAAGAATGCTGCCTTTTCTTATTTCTTATGAATTGCATTAAATCAATAAGTTCTTGTAGCCTGTAGATTTAGAAATTTTGCAAGTTGGCCTGCATATTACAAACTGCTGGACAACATTGTTATTATTATTAAAAATTATAACAAACATAGCCTAATGCAACATATTGCCATACCATAAGCTACACAAAATCAGACATTTGATTTAAGACAATACTTACGAGTAAATCCAACGACATTAAGAATAGAAAATATATATACATGAGTTGGATGGGATTTGAAGTTGAAAAATGTGTGCCTAGAGCAAAATAAATATTATGATGAGAAGAAAATTTCATAAGAAGTCGTAGGAACTTGATTGTGTATTAAATTAAGTATGAATTAATTCATTAATAATAAAGCCTACTTATTGGTTAGATGAATTACGGATTGAATTTAACAGGAAAAAATTTAAAACTTCACATCCCACAATCCCACTGCTCGCTGTGACGTGACGTCATATACGTGAGCCCAAACAGAACGGCGTGAGCTTCCCACTCCCACCACCATACGCGCAATTTAAAAGTTTTGTATTCACTGTTTTTTACGGTACTTATCGACAAGGTTTGTTGAAAATATGCGTCTACCTGTCGCTTACTGTTTTCAATGTGCATCTGAGGGGGTTTCAGAGGCTAGGAAAGCCACGAACACACTTATTTGTTTAGATAAAAGTATTGTTTACGTTTTGCAGTTTTGTCTTTGCTTGCGTAATATGTGTATTTGACTAGCATCGTGAAATGTGTTGTTGTAAACTCCCAAATTTCGTTGCATTTTATTTATTGTTAAAGATGCACTATGTAACTTTACTGGTTAGATTCCATCCCCTTTCTGTATTCATGTATTGCCCCCCCCCCCCCCCCCCCCCCCCCCCCATCTATTTTGCATTAATTTAACTGAAGATATTTAGACTATACAGTATCTTTTGAAAAACATGCATTCTCTAGGCAAACATGGAGACAAAACAGGTGGTGACATCAGAAATGTTACTTTGTGCACCTACAATCATAGATATAAGATATAATGCTTCATGTAGGCTATCAGATCTATTGTTCATCCTGTCTTATTTCCTAAGTGTGTCTTTCATCGCTTTGCAGAGTTCACAAAATATCAGACTTTACGACAGGATGCCCTACCATTGTGTGGCATTTGGCTGTGGTAAAACTGCCGAAGATGGCGTGACTCTGTTTAAATTCCCAAAGGACCAAGAGGAGTTCACCAAATGGGAGAGACAGGTCCAGCGTACCCGCGCCAACTGGACAGCCTCCTCCACCTCCCGCCTCTGCCATGAGCACTTTGGCTGGGACTACTTCATCGCTGGAACCCATAAGCTCAGGCTAGGAGCTGTCCCGACTGTATTCAATCGCCCCTTCTGCTCACTCTGTTTTGGGAGAGGCTGCCCTAAATGTCTGCCATCTATTCAGTACCGCACTGTTGTGCCAAAGGGGCCTGTGCATTTGCCTGTGCCTGTGAGTATATGCACCAAAACACACACAATTAGATAGTCAGGGATCTGTAATGGATTTGTGGTGATCATTTTAGATTGTAGTCTTTAGGGTTGTCAAAATTAGTTACTAATCAATACTAAAATTAGTACTGAAACACGATATGCTTTTGAGCAGGTATCGATCCTAAAACAGTCCCATTCACAGGACAGAAATGAACCTTTCCTGAATAGCTTTAGAATGATCTTGATCTGTATCAGATCAAATATAAGACCAGATAGACTAATATACGTCCTGAACCACTATGGAACCTACTTGGATGACTGAAGGGTTATACAAATATAAGGCTTAATGGTAATATAAAGTACTGTGATTTAATGTTGAAAGTCACATTCAATTCCAATAGAGAGGTTTTAATTATCATTGTGGTATCTGAATCATTGAGTATCAAGTATATTTCTTAGTATTGAGACTGAGTTTGTAATTTTAATATTGTGGTAGTAACACTATGTTCATGTAATATTGGCACCCCTAAGCAATGGGTGAATGAATACCTCCTGTTTGGGATTCTATTTGTCAAGTATTAATAGGGATAAATGGATTTTAGAAAATAATTTCTGGATTTTTCTTGTTTTCAGTCGACAAATGCAATCACACAACCAAAGCCAAACACCACCAGAGAGAAGGTCAAACAAGAAGGACGGTTAGGTATGCTTTAGGTCAAACTACTACGAAGTTATTATTAATATAAAATGGTAGGGTTTGAAAATTATGTATCATTGTTTTTCATAGTTACATGTGAAATGTGTGAAACCATTGGTGATGCAAGCACCTTTTACTCCAAAAGCAAGCGATTCTGCAGTGTATCTTGTGCTCGGTCCTACTCTTCAAACTCAAAGAGGTCTTCGGTCTTGGCTCAACTGCAGGTAAAATTTTGTTGTTCCCTTTTCTTTTTTAATGGAGAGTAACTTGGCAAATATTTACACTCAAAACTGAGTCATTTTACAATGGAGCAATTAAAATGCGAAGTTACAAGTAAGGTTGTAGTCACCTGAAGAAATTCATGGTCGACTAAAGACATGCACTGTGCATCAATGAACTGACTTAAATGAGGTGTGGCATGGCACCTGGTTCATATAAATCTTTAGAATTCAATCAAAACAACTGGTTCACTTGACTCGATGACACGAAAGACACAATCGGCCAATTTCTCCATTTATGAATACTGCCCCAATAACGAGCAGATTTGCAGTGCGGTTGCCCTGCAGCTCCGTGCAACAGCAGATGGCAGACTTTCCCCGGAAAATGAGTTTGAGCAATCCAGCGGTGGAGTAAAAGAAGAGCGCGCTCCCTTGAAAGATCCCACTCGTGTTACTTGTATCCACTTGTACAATGGTTATTAAATGCTGCGTGAAAACATGTCGCAGCTCAGAACAGGGAAAGGACCTCGTGTTGCACCGTCTCCCGCTCTGCCGGCCTCACGTCCTCACGCAGTGGCTGTTTGTGCTGGACATAGACGTAAACACACCGAAGCACATCCTCCGAACCACGTTTGTGTGCCAGGAGCATTTCGAGGCGGACGACTACATCCAACAGACCCGTGTCCCGAACCAGCCCCGGTCCACACTGCTGAAGGCCACCGCGGTGCCGTCTCGGTTCAGAGCCAGCGACACCCCCGCCGCAGGGGCAGTGGGCACGGTGAAGCGGAGGGTAAGAGAGGAGGCGCGGACTGCTAGGATATTATTGTTACCCGACAGTTTTCAACGAGATAAAATTAAATTCTGTCAGACTGCAGCCCCACCACTCTGTTCATATCTGGAGCGCTGCTGTAACCCTTTGTACGGGCGTGCCTAGAAGACTATTATTGTTATTGCACAGTTCACACATTGTTACTTAGATATTTCGAGCATATTGAACCGGATTCGGTTTTTGTCCATATCTTTCTTTCCCAACGGGGGAGAGAGAGTACTCAGAACTGAACTGCTTTTAGGTGACTTGAACTTGCTAGAACTGGACTTTTAGTCTAAAGGTGCATTGTGTAACCTTTCTCGTGGAGGGCCCATCTAATGTTTTCTCCGTGGAGATGTTATTGCTTTGTCTGGACTGTTTCATAGTATGGTATTAAACCTTTCTATCTCCATGGAGACCAAATCAGACCAAGTTACAGGTCAGATCCTTCGAGAGGCAGCATCACTCATAGTCGGAATGCCTGTTTTTCTGGGTATTTTTGATCTATAAAACTGCCAGTAATTTAATAAATGTAAGGTTTAATGTCATACTCTGGAACATTCCAGGCAGAACAATGACATTTCCATAGAAACAAGCATCCCCAACCAAAAAGTTACATAAAACTGCTTATGGTATGACAAAATCTGGATAGCATTGAATTAAGTTGTTTTATGGATTTAGGGATCAGGCTAAATCCTGTGTTTAGTTAAGTTATACATTTTTCTTTTCTTTTTAAGGGTCGGCCTCCCTCTAAGAAAACGGTAGTACTAAAAAAGAAGAAGCCACATCCACCCATACCCCCCTCAGGTAGTCATTACATTCACACACTAACCTTTTAATTTACTGATTTTGTGCTTGTGTATATACTATAAAACTGTCTTATTACAGGGTTTGACTGGGGCTATTATTTGAATAAAGAAACCTCTTTGGGTGCATCAGTCTCCTGCTTCCAACATGTAAGTGCAGTTTTATGGCCAAGTACATGTCTTTATCATTTTTAATTGTCTTCCGACATCTTCATGACAGGCTCCCATGTGGGATCACTGGGACGATGTCTCAGTGGGGACAAAAGTGGAGGTCCTAAATACTAATGCTGTTCTGCCGAGTAAAGTCTACTGGATTGCCACAGTAATTCAAATTGCAGGTTTGAATTTTTCTTGTTGAAACTAAATGTGTGGACATGCATCACACAAATCACTGTAATCTGCAGAGGATTCCCAGCTAAAACCAGTAGTGGACATCATTTCTGAATGTTTTTTGTGTCTTGTCCAGGGTACAGAGTTCTTTTGAGGTATGAGGGCTTCGAGCATGACAGCACATATGATTTTTGGAGTAGCCTTGTATCAGGAGAATTGCATCCAATCGGGTGGTGCGCAATGACCACCAAGCTCCTGGTGCCTCCTCAAGGTGAGCTCCACTTCTGAACACAGTAGTATTCACTCATCCCCTTAATATGTACTACAAGAGAGGGGGGCTCTTAATGTATGGCATGTGTTGCTGTTGCTGGAGGAGAAGAATGCTGCTTCATGTTGTATGTTTGACTGTTATTTACAGATGTCAAAACTACAATCGTGGACTGGAAAGAGTATCTAATGCAGAAGTTGGTGGGAGCCAACACAATACCTGTAGACTTTTATTTAAAGGTAAACAAATTATGACACATGGACGATTTGAGTCTTCTCAGGCCTGTACTACAAAGCTGGCTGAACTCCTAGATCAGATTCTCTTACCCATCCTAGGTGAGGAACAGAAGAGGGGAAGGGTCAGTGGGAGCAGACTAATTAGAACAATGGAGAAGAGAAGGGCTGCTCAGAACTGTCACTCATAAATCGTAAATATATAATATGCATAACCTGCATAAGCGGTATTCAAATTTAAATTAAAAGTTTATTGTCAATTCTTCATACAAAACATATGAGAATCGAAACTGTGTTTCTCACTGCCAAGCATATAAATAAATAATAAATGGAAAAGTCCAAGTGGTCTTTGGGGAGACGCAGATTCCTAGCTTCCTGTCAGCCTGGTGGGTAGAGAGGGGAGAGAATTCAGTTGTGGTGATGATGATTCCTCTTTATAAAATCCATGTACACTGATATAAAATAATTAACCAGGGTTAACCCTGAAATTACCTGACTAACCCTCTAATCCAGCTTCATAGTGCAGGCTTCTGTTATCCTCTTGTGGATTAGTTTACATTTAAGTTTACATTTACTCTGCAGCTTTCTGAGAGCATGAAGTGCCCATTCAAATTTGGCATGCGTGTAGAAGTGGTGGACCCTAAATATATCAGCCGTACCCGTGTAGCCATTGTTAATGCTACTTACGGAGGACGGCTCCAACTTGTGTACGCTGACCAAAAGGATGCCCCTGAAAACACAAAGGCAGAGTTTTGGTGTCACATGTCCAGTCCTATTCTTCACCCTATTGGCTGGTCCAAAATGGTGGGCCATCCTATCAAAACTCCAGGTTTGTAAAGCTATCTATAGTTATCCATTTCGTCATGTTGTTGTTTTAAAAATGTTTATATATTATTGTTCTTTTAGCGACTAGTGTAGAAGTGAACCCTTTAAAGGGTACCTGCTGGGAGAGTAATTTACACCTCTTTAAAAAGGTAAGAAAAAAATCTACTTTTGTAATATTCAATAGTCACAGCTTGACTTATCCCAGTTTGTCACCCTCAGCTGAGATATGTCTATATGGAAGGAACATTCTTTGAAGAGGGGATGAAACTTGAGGCTATTGACCCACTCAATTTGGGGAGCATTTGTGTTGCCACGGTACAAAAGGTAATTTTTAATTTTTATGTTAATTATTTACAATTTCAACATATCATTGATAAATCCTTTGTCCTAAAATCTTTGTGATCTTAGCATTTATTTTTTCTCAGTCTCAGACAGAGTAATCTGATTAGGATTCAAATTACCATTAACAATCTTCTCAGGTACTGTTGGATGGCTACCTGATGGTGGGTATAGATGGCAGCATTCTCGCCGATGGATCTGACTGGTTCTGTTACCATGCCTCGTCTCATGCCATCCTGCCCATCGGCTTCTGTGAAAAGAATGACATAACCCTCAAAGTGCCTGATGGTAAAGGCCTTCTTTCCATTTCTTTTGAGATGTTACTGTCTCTAGAAAAAGCCCATGTATCTTAATGATGACCCTCCAATATGTTGTGTGTCAGGGTATGAATCTGAGACTTTCAGTTGGCCTGATTATCTGAAGGAGAAGAAAGCCAAAGCTGCACCTGCACATCTATTCAACTATGTAAGATAGTTTTTTGTTTTAGATGAGGTCAAGACAAAATGCATATAATGAAATTACAATTTTCAAAGGCCACAACCTTCTGTACACCCTTAATACTGGTATTGGTACATACTGCTCAAAAACAAGGAAATTGACGCTTTTATTGTGCCTCTGTTCAGGAGTACCCGGGTCACAGCTTTTCCCCCAACATGAAGCTGGAGGCAGCTGACCTGATGCAGCCCAGCCTGGTGTGTGTGGCCACAGTGAGGCGCTGTGTGGGCCGGCTCCTGCTCATCCACTTCGACGGCTGGGACGATGAGTTTGACCAGTGGGTGGACTGCCAGTCTCCAGACATCTACCCCATCGGCTGGTGCGAGCTGGTGGGCTTACAGCTGCAACCGCCCCCCGGCCTAGGTAAAGTAGCCAGTGTATTCAATGCAACAAGTTTAAAATGTTCAAGATGCATCTAATTTCTGACCTGGCTCTCACCAGATTCATATTTGTAGCCCTCTGAGTTGAGTCCTACACGTCAATCTTGAATGGTTCACACTGAAAGCTATTGGAACCAATGATCAAAACAGTCAAAAAAAATCTTCACACTGATCATACTGGTCAAAGAGGCACAACAATGGAACAAGCCCTAAAATCAAGTGTCTTCCCCCTCCACAAATGCACAAAGGACTTTCATCTGCATGTTTTTCAAAAACAATGTAGTTGGTATTTTCACAAAAACAGGCTGAAGTACTCCTGTTAGAGTTGCCATGTTTGTTTTGTTCGGTGCTGGTTTCCACCCAATGCTGCTCTGATTGGTCAGTCGTTGGAACCTGCCACAAACAAACGCTTCAGCTGCAGCTGAACAAGATGGATTGTCAAGAGTTTGTGAACACATAAAAATCGTGAGAATTCATCTTGCTAGCAATCTTATCTAATATCCTCTTCAGTTGTTGGTGGCTTTGAGATTCTAGAATGTCATGATGCCATCTGAAAAACAGCAATAGGGGGACCATAGCTTATCCTTTATCCTTTTATTTCTACTGCTCCCTGTACACTAATCAGGTCAGAAGATGTAAAGCTGTTCATTAGTTGCTGAAAAGGTAAAATATATTGTACTTTTATGTTGTCATAACCATAAATGCATTTGAGTTATCCTGTATGTTCAGGCAATCTCCCACATCTGAGCTCAAAATGCTCAGTTATATTGGTGTATGTTATACCATGGTAAACCAGGAAGAGACTGAAGTCCATACACCTTTGCAGCTACCTTTTAGGTTACAAAGATCATATGAAAGAACATTTAACATATTTTGTACTGTTGTATGTATTGTTGTTTCTTTGCAGACCTGACAGAACAGTCAAGAATCAAAAAGTGCAAACAACACGTATTTGGAGCAAAAAAGAGTATGTTGTGATAATACTGCTTGTGGTTAGATACTGTTTGCAAAATTATAAACATTCTAATTCATCTTTTTCCTTCAATGTGTGTATAGAAAAACGTTTTGGGAAGAGACCATCTTCTCAAGTAAACTTTGAAGATGTGGTGCACGACCCGGAAATGGAGGAAGCGCACGGCTCATATGAGCTGGACTCTCCTCTTAAAGCTCCACTCATCCAGCCCAAAGTGGAGCCAGAAGACCAGCCACAAAGTATGTCTAAACATCATACAGCATTGTGTATACACCCTTTAAATTGTTGAATTTAATGTTTTGGCAACTGGACGCAAAATGATTACATGACAATGACTTTCTCTCCAGTTGGCCCGGTTCACGTCAAAGTGGAGGAGGTGGAAATGGAGACCCCTATAGACCCAACACAGGTTTCTTTAAGCCAAATCAAAATAGAGGAAAACCCTGGGATCAGTGTCATGACAGCCACTGTGTCTGGGTGCAACGTGGAGGTGACCGGGGACACTATGGTAGTTTCTGGAGCTTCCATGGAGGTTTCCGAGGCAACAGTAGAAGAATCTGGGGAGCACCATGAAGAAGAGGAAGACCAAATCATGGAAGGAATGGCAGGAGATAGCTACGAGTCATACGATAGCAACAGCAACGGTGAAGACTCTAGTGACGAACACGTAAGCTTAAACCAGGAAGATGAAAATGCAGCTAATACGACTCTATGAGGAGCTGTTAATATTACCGGGACTGGCACGTTTGACATAGCTGATAGTTACCTCATTCATTTCCGTACAACACTTTTTTATAATGGTTTATTTTGTACAGATGTAAAAAGACATGTTTTCTTTTTTTTTTAAATGTAACTTATAAAATTAAGCTGCTTACTAATTTGGAAACTGAATGCTATCTGTGAAAATAGGTACCTAATGAAAACTTACAACTATTTAAAGTGAGAGTAAACGTCTAAACTAAACCCACAACTGGGGGGGCGGAGCCTGGGGTTAGAAGAAACTGTGTGATTGGTCTAACTGATCCACAAGTCAAACTGTTTTTGACCAGAAAGTTGCAAATTCATCTAGTTTACACTAAAGTTGCCAAAAATGACTATGAACATTAGATACTGCTATTAAAATGCCATATACAGTTATGTGCCACTTTAAAATATCTCAAATATGAATGCAATTCTAACATGCGAGGTCAACAACTGAAAATGTCTTCTCTCAAAACCATACAACCACATTGATGATTTATTATAAGCACAGTACTTGCCTATAACTTTCAATTGTTAGAAAATGAAGCAAATGCCTAATTGCAGCAACTAAAATGGTATTGGATGGTAAAACAGAAAAAAATAGTTAAACATTTATGTAAAAATATGTTAATAAATTATGTTTTGTGTAATAAGCCTTGCCACAATAAAACATTTTGAAGTGCAATATTTTGCTTCTGAAAATATATACATAATTAGGGATGCACTAATCCAGCTGTTTCACTTCCAATACCGATTTCAGTACTATAGCTTTAACGATCTACTGATATCCAATAACAGTGCAGAAACATTAATTTCCTTGAACCAGTTGATCCAAATATGTTATGTATCTGTTATTTATCTCAAATAACTACAGAAAAACTTTGTGTAAATATAAATGGAAAGATGGGACTTTCTGGATCAAATACAACCAGTAAAAAGTGTTATTACATTGATTTATATGTCCAACTAGAATATTAGCTGAACTGATTTTTGGAAGCTGATATCCAAGCAAACTCATTTTACGGAATCTTCCTCGATATCAGATACCAGTATGAAGATAATATTGGAAAAATTAATGCCCCTGATGCAATACCCAATGTAAAACTTTTTCTAAATGCACAAAACAAATAAATAGCAGAAAATATCTGAGTAGTTAGTTAATATCTAATACATCTGCTTTGCACAAGATGTTAAAAATTTGTACTTTTATAATGGTGCAAAAGTAAATACATTTTTAAAAAGTCCATAATAAAAATCCTACAGAAATGCTTTTATGAAAAAACACTAGTGTATAAAGTCAGCTAATAAGTAGTAGTAGTAGTTTAAGCCATGCTGCGTCTCTTGTTGCTTTTCGAGTTCTTAGTCTTCTGGTTTGTCTTGGGTTTGGCTTTGAGCATCTTCACCTGTCTCTTTCGGTTGAGGTGCAGTGGCTTGGGTTTGGTTACTTTTGGTGCCCTGGGGACCTGTGGGGTGACTGTTGGAGGAGAGGGAAGGCTCTCTCCCCCAGGACAGGCTCTGAACATGTGGACGTCTTTGACTCTGCGACCTTTGACCTCTGGGGGATTGGCACAGGTGGCACGCACTTTAAGGTTAACCTTTTCAATCCAGCTGTAAAGGAGAAAATGGAAAAAAGATTTAAAGATAATATTGGAATGTTTGGAAGAATTGAGGAGTTATTGCTTTACGTGACATGTGACTTTTTAGAAGTAGACTGACTTTAGACCATTATTAATCAAATGAAAGTACAAATTACTGATCCAAGAAATAACTTAGGGAAACTACTGCTCAAATACTACTAAATAATACTACTAAATTATGCACAAAATTCTGTTATATTGAAAGAATAGAACAAACATTTGAAAAATGTATTCATATTTGAAGGAGCGGTGCAAGAAGCAAACGTTCAGACCATTTCATATTGTCGACATTAAGCTTTTGTCAGTTATAGACCCACTTACAGTGGGAAAAAGTATCCACATTTCTACTTAAGCATAATTTCCTTAAAATGTTGCTCATATGGGTTATACAAACATTGATGTGAATCTGTCCAGTGGCTTTAATTGGTTTACAATTTGATGGAAAAAGTCTTACAGGCGTAGAGGCAGCAGGGGGCAGTCACACATCAGAGGGTTGTCAGCCAGGTTGATGACCTCCAGAGACCTGAAGGGTCGAAGGTCAGGCACCTCCTCCAGAAGGTTCCCCTCTAGAAAGAGACTCCTTAGGCCTGGACCCATCCCTGCCAGAGAGTCTGGGGACATCTGTAACACACCAGGTTCACAGAGGGTAGGACTGGACTTGCGCCTGCAAAAAACTCGCCAAATTCGTACTTTCAATACTATGTGTCTTGTAAAGAACTATTAGGCCATATAGTTTGTTTTTTTTTAACTACTAAAATAACACCTAGAAAAACATGAATTCTTGCTGTGAACAGGGGCACCTTTCTATAGATGTGACCTGTAAGTTGACCTGGTTGTATCGCCTTTTTTCTCTTCATTGAGATAGATTTCATTAATGTGTAGCCCTATGAATTTAGTTCTACACCCAAATTTGTGAACTCACAAATATTGCAAGAATCTATCTTGCTGTGCAAGGTTAAGATTTAATGCCATACTGTGCAATATTCCACATGGTAAAACATTTTATTGATCAAAATGTTCACTTTAAAATTTAGGACTGTAACCATTTTAATTCCTTATTCACTTTATGTGTTGCCAAGGATGCTAGTTTAGTGGCGGGTGCTATATAATTACTTTACCACCACTCACCCTCTCAAGCCCCATCTTATTCAGATACAGCTCCTTCAGTGACCTCTCCACAGGCTTGAAGGCATTAGGCCCCACCCACAGAATGGGGTTTCCAGTGAGCCGAAGGTCCCTGAGGCTCCCCACTCCCCTCAGGGCTTCTGTGGGCACCTCCTTCAGCTTGTTCCCCCCCAGGTGAAAGGTGTCCAGATCAGCCGCTTGCTCCAGAGCTCGAGGGGCTATGTGCTCGATGCTGTTCCCTGTCAGGTACAGAGATCGGAGGTTCTCCGCCCCAGTGAGGAGGCCTGGCTCCAGTCTGCTGATGGAGTTGTTCTCCAGGTGAAGTGCCAACAGGCTGGGAACCAACTTGAAGGCTCCTTTAGGGAAGACAGTGAAGCGGTTCTTCTCTAGGTGAAGGTAGGTCAGCTGAGGCAAACCTGACAATTAAGATACATGAAATATAGATGTAAATGCGTATAACAATATATTCTATGAACACATTCTTAACATTTCCAACAATTGGTATTTGTTTTGTTTTTTTTAACTTTTAGGGGCCATTTGCATGCTTGTGATTTTTCTGGATTTTTCAGCCATAATAATGCCACCCTCGTAAATCATGCAAATCTGTTTTTGTTTTGTTATATTTATTGTTTTTTTTGGGAGAGGGTGCTTTATAATGCGGTGCTGCTTATAGTCCCAAAAATATAGTAATAGGCATGTTTTAGACTCAGTGTTCCACGTCGGGACGGTGAGAGTGGTCAGAGTGTTTGTAGAAGAGCTGGTATCGCAGAATGTTAAGTGTACACAGTCATAATAACAGTTCAGTTATGGTGGTTAGTTGCATGCTGTTTCACTAGTAGAGTTGGTAGAGATGATTAGCCAAACCACACCTGTGAGGATATCTACGAACAGCCACACTCCCACTCTTGTTACATTGCTTATTACAGAATGTTGTGTAGGCTACATAAAAACAGAGTAGTATACATAATTACAGCGGTGTAGGCTACACAATAACAACAGCAACATCCATGATGATAACTATAATAATAAAAATTCAAGTTTATCTTGGCTTTATAGTACATGCTGCATAATAACAATGTCAGTATACTGGTGGAAGACCAAGTCCATGTGTACTGTAGTTTGTGTATATTGATTAAAAACTGTAAGCATTGTCATAATTTGTATTATCATTTCCTTTATTATATCTTAAACTGGTTTGGAAATGGACTGCATTTTGTCACAGCAAGTGCAATTTTGCACACAGCAACACCTTTCTTTCTTTCCTTCCTTCTTTACTTCCTTCCAATTTCCAATGATGAAAATTCTGAGTTGCCACTAAATGTGTGCATATTAACACTTTTCAGTAAAAGTGTCAAAACGAGGTCATTGTGTGTAATGGCTGCACTGTAACCGCACCATGTCATTGCCGCACCACACTATGGGTCTATATTTTTTCCTGCTTTTTTTGTCCTTGGCCAATCACATCCATGCATATGGCACCTAAAATCATGTGGTACCACACTGGTCTCTTGGTGGTTTCCCAAACTTGGTGAATCCTCATTTGATTTGGGTGCATCCTAATTGTGGAACTGCCTTCAAGGATCTTTACATTGTTAAGGATGCCTAATATTTTAAAATCTAATCTAACAACATAGCTTATGAACTAATTCTGTTTCGGGTTATATGTCATGGTGTACTTCTACATTTATTTGTGACTGCAAGCACTCGCTCTATACTCTGCCTTTTACAGACAATCCTACAGACCTTTGAATGCTTCTGGATTGATCGATGTGAGGTCATTCTCTGACAGGTACAGGTAGACGAGCCCCTTCATGCCGCTGAACGCCCCCTCCTCGACGTCCACCAATTTGCAGCGCTGCAGGTGCAGAGAAACCACCTGGCCCACTCCAGGGAAGCTGCCACTAGGGAGGTAGTGGAAGTGGTTCCCCCTGAGATCCAGGAGTTGTGTGGTGGGATCAAAACCTTTGGGGATTTTGGTGAGTCCCTGGTTTTCACATGAAGAGTGGTGCGTCTCTGCCTGGATGATGATAAAAGACTTGATTAAATTAAATAGAAATTTAGGGGAGATGCTATCATTAAAAGGTTTTTGGACCTGCTCTCTCAACATATAAGCTTCTCCACTAAATAAACTTCCTTTTATAGTCAAATTCTTGAAGACTTTCGTGTGTACCATTTACTATTTGGTTTTAAATTGTTACTTGCTATGGCAACGGTCCTAATTTTTCAGTGTTCTCAAACCCATGGATAGTCACTTGATACATTTTAACTTCAGAAATATCTTTATTTTGCTCAAATACTAGTTTTTAAGTTTACGTTTTAGATAGTCTGAAAACGCAAGAAAAAACACAAAAATTAAATTAATTTTCACATTCACACATTTTCAGGAGCTCAATACAAGTGTTGATGGTCCTGTTTTCATCAAAGCTGTGAGAACTGAAAAACTTTTGTTGTGACTGTATTTTTACTTGTTTAACAGCACAAATCAGCTCACCTGTTGTAGTTCCAGCTAAGTCAGTTCTTTATTGTCAGACTAATCAGACTTTATGGTTAGATTAGTTTTTAACTGCTCATTTGGAGTTTTGGGCAAATCGCAGTTTCGATTGCCCTGTGTAATGTCTTTACATGGTGGAATTGACAATAAAGTTCACTTTAACTTTGACAGATTGTGTTAAAATAAAGCACATAAAGCCTTAGACAGAGCAGACCCTACAATTAGCGTCACACCCTCAGAAAATGTTGATGACATTAGCCTTTTTTACCAAATAGAACTCATTGTACAAAATGGCAGCACAAATGAGTAAAGTCCCTACTTGGCACACACAGTTGACTGGACACTTGAGCTTGTTCTCTGGCTCTGTGGTGGGAGGGGGGGTGTTTCTGGTGGCCTCCTCGTACTCCGCCCTCAGCATGGCGTCGTGGCTCTGACAGCGCAGCTCTGAGGGGTAGACCGCATCTATGTTCTCTCCAGACAGGTGAGCTGGACCCCCACATGTGCCAAGGAGCTTCACCTTACTGCTGATGGCCCACTCCCTAACGTGAAATCAGAATGTATTCAAAAAAGAACAGTGGCATTATGGGTTACAAATTGCAGCCAGTAGTATTTGCAAGTTCAATGGTATGTATTATGTGCATATATTTAAAGATCAGAAAATACCGCAACATGGAACCTATGTTATAACATTGTTTCCTCATCATAAACATACCTGGAGTTGTGTTTTGTTTGACTTACACATGTTTAACACACACTTGCATATTTAGGCTGAGTTCTTCTATCAAACTGAACCAAAGGTAAAGGTACATCTTCAGTGCCATAACATTTCAGACAATAACAAGCAATAACATCTCCTTGTATTTTTTTATACAGATGGATTTCATTCTGGTCCCGATGCCCCACTGTTACATCTCGAGTTTGACCAAGCTATTTTTATTTTTTTTCAGTCATATATCATTTATAAACACAGTAATTTTTGTCACGTCTGATTAACAGTTAACAGTTCACTGATTCTGCAGAAATCTGTGAGATTTTTCAGTTCCTTTTTTTTTCCTCTTTCGTTTTTCCTCATAAGCAGCCATATTTGTTTTGATATGAACTGACCATATTTGTCCCTGACTGGCTTGTCCACACATCAGTCATGCCCATCTGAAAATGTAAAGTACTGAATAAGTGTTTATTCTGGATCTCAGGCAAAATTTAAACCTCTACAAAGGTTCTGAAAGGCATGTGATTCTTGCATTAGCATTTAATATTTATTTTCTCTATTGGATAAATTCATAGTTGTGCCCTGTTAACTGTCACTTGCTTTATTTAGTAAATATGAGGTACCGCAGAGGTCGCAGGTAGCAGTTACAGTATATGGGGTTCCCTGCCAGGTTGACCCGAGCCAGGCTGGGGGTCCCGGGGGCAAAGGGCTGGATGACGCGCAGCTGGTTGTGGCTCAGGTCCAGGTGCACGAGGCTGGGACACTTGGACACGGCGCTGTTGGACATGTCCTGCAGAGACATGTGGTCCAAGAAGAGGTGGGTGAGCTTGGGCATGGAGATGGCCTCCTCCCCCAGGTACGTCATGGGGTTGTGGCTCATCTCCAGACGGGTCACCTCCGGAAGTCTGGACAAAAAGACCAACAGAATACATTTATTTCTTCATTCATTCATTTCATTTATTTTAAAAGTGGGCACACAACATACATGCAGGGCGTCCATAATAAGACATAACTGACATGACAAAAAAAGAACAGGAAATAAGCTCACTCTTGTGTGTCCTGCTCCGTATCATCAAATACAGAGAGTAAGGTTGAATATACACTATTTTATTTTTATTTTAAGGGTACTTGCTGGAACACGCATTTCTGTGGTTGTAAAAGCGGCTCAGATCATGATTCAACAATTATTGTATGCTGGTCTTAGTTGTAGGATCTGGCAACCCAAAGTGTAGAACTCAATCTGTTTTTGATTGGCTTGAGAGCTACAACAGTTTGTGAATTAAAAAACTGGAAAGAAGGAAAACAGGACCAAGGAGCGATTGGGTATGTATCCCATATGTGTCTGAAAAACTCAATATACCTATGAACTATCATTAACAATGTAAAAGAAATTTATGAAAGTAATGTTGTGTGTTCAATCCATTGCACTGAAGAAGAATTCAAAGATCATTACACTGGAGAAACTAAACAACCACTGTACAGAAGAAAATTTCACACTCACAAAAGCTCCCAAATTCAGGGTCGCTGTCAGCCTGTTATTTTAAAGCCATATATCAGAAAGGATGGTTTGAAAGCTGTGAAGGAGGTGATTTTTGTTAAAAGTAAGAAAAAAGCCCCCTCAAATCTTGGTCAAAACTATGGTGAGATCAGTCAAATGCTAATCGGGTACTTCATTGCTTCAGAAGTTCATATGGCTTTATAGAACGAGAGACTCCATGATGACGTACCGGGTCATGGTCTCACTGGGGAAGAACTGCAGCTCGTTGTGGTCCAAAGTGAGGCGTGTGAGGGTGACGAGTCCAGCCAATGCCTCTATGTCCAAGTAGTTCAGTGAGTTATGACTCAGACGCAGCAGCTTGATGTTTTGCAGACCCTATAGCCACAACAGTTAGTATATTAGTTTGCTGTTTTAAAACATTGGACATTATTCTTTGCTGTTTATGTTGTCATTTTTCAACATGATCATCCGATCAGCAAGCAGATTCACATGAGAGTCTCATTTGGGTTGCCAGTTCCGATGCTGAAATCAGGCTGGTTTAAACTTAAAAGGATTCGATCTGATCTGAAAGGTCAGTACCTAAACCCCAGCACCTGCAGCAAATCATTAGTCAGTGCTAGTGCAGCCTCTTCAGCTCAGAGTGTGAATTCTCTGAGCTTTCATTTAATTTCATTTATTAAAAGAATTACTTAGGTAAACAAAACTTTTTCTCTCTGATTTGATTCGATCATTACTACAGTGCTTTGTGCAGTGAACCTGAAAGGCCATGTTGGGCATGTAGACCAGCTGGTTGTGTGTGAGGGAGAGCAGGTTGAGGAAACCCAGCTGAGAGAAGGCCCCAGGCTTGATCTCCTCTATGCGGTTACGATCCAGCATCAGCTGCTTCAGGGAGGAGAGCCCATCCAAAGACTCCTGCAGTCAAAACAAGGTAGGGTTATACAGAGATGGAAATAGTATTGGACATTTGTAAATACAGTTATCTGACCAAAAATTTACTCAATTCCAAATACAGTTATTCTGGAAAATGTGTAGTTAAAGCTACACTAACTTTTCAGGGGGAGTGTTCGCCATCTGCTTGTCTCCATGGAGATGTTATTGCTTTTCCTGGAATGTTTCACAGACAGGAGACATAGCTATCACCACAGAGACAAGCATATGATGCTCCAAGGCCAAGTTACTGGTCAGATTTGTGGAGAGGCGAACCTGCTCACAATTTAAAAACCTGTTTTTAAGGTATTTTACAGCAATAAAACCAAATTTAATTGAATAAATGCAATGCTTTAAATGTCGTATCCTGGAAGATTACACTACAGTCAAGGTAACAGCATCTCTCTTAAATCAGACCTCCCACTACAGTTAAAGGTCCAATATTACACAAAATTTACTCTTGTGAGTGTTGTTGCCTCCTCAAAGACATACGCGCAGTTA